CACCTGCCTCGAAAGCACAAGGTCCTGAGTTTGATCCCTGGTACCAAAAAAAAAAAAAAAGCTGAGTATGTACCTCACTCTGAAGGCCCTGGGTCCGATCCCCAGTGCTTTTTTTTTTAAAAAAAGTGGGCTTTGAAAGCTCAAATCTGTTGCTGAAGGTCATGAGTCCTGCCAAACCACAATACAGACTACACCGTTTCTACCTACGAATGGGTGGGCCATTGGTGGCTGGCAGGTGGCATCTGCCCCTGCTTTGGGCTGATTAGGGCCCAGGAAGTGTCACTGGGGAGGACAACTGTGTTCTGCAGCCTCAGCCATTAAACTTGAGGCTGGTCCTGAGGGTCTGCAGATGGAGCCCTTAACAAAGAGGGGACAGAGGACCCTGAATCCTGGTAAAAGCCCATTGGAGGTGCCCTTCTCCCCTCCCTGAAAGGCAAAGCACTGGAAATACCTCTGCCTGGGACCCCTGGCCCTCTCCAGCTTTCCCATAGGATTATTTTAAGTGGATCTTTCCTGGATACACTAGGGTTGTTGCCTGGGGCTCCTGTGAGGTCAGAAGAGGACAAGAGGGCCAGGCTCCAACTTCTAAGCAGCTGCACTGCCTCTGCCTCACGCCAGGTGATGCCAAGCCCTCCTGCAGGCCTCTGGGAGTTGTCCATCCACCATGGGTCACAGCTATCCTGGCCTTAGCTGGAGCAGCAGGGATCACAGCAGCAGAGTGGATACCAGTTTTTTCCTGCTAGGGCAAACCCCAGATTTCTGGGCTGTAGCAATGGCTGTTTCCCTCCAGGGTCCTAGATGCAGTGGTTACCATGGAGACAAAGATCTGATGGTTATAACAGTAGCATCCCAGCCTGTCAATCTGGCTCAGTGTGGGAACACTGCTTGGTGCTGGAGGCAGGTTCAGCTGTCCATCAGGGGGCGAGGGCCATGAGGCCATCAGCAGGAAAGTCTGCCATCGCAAGCCAGCCTGGTCCCACAGCTATACCCACTGGCCAACCCAGGTACTGCCAAAGAGGAGGCCTCAGAAAATCTTGAAGCCCTTCAGGAGGGTGAGGGTGGGTGCCTTGCGCTTGCTCTGGGCGCGGGATGATTTCACAGTGACCAGCTTGGCCTGGGCCACAGCAGGCATCTCCTTCAGGCTGACAGTGGACAGCGTGTTGAAGGTGCAGCTGGCCAGCCCGTGCCGGGCGGTAAGCGGCGCCTGGTGCGTGGGGGGCCTGTCCTCGGAGATGAAGAGGGGCCGGGCCAGGGGGCTCCTCTCCAGCTCCCGCCTCGCCTCCCGCACCGCCTCATGGAACACATGCTGCACATGCTCAAAGTCCAGGCAGGCGGAGACCTCGAAGAACAGGCACCCGAACCTGCTAGCCAGAGCCGCACCCTCGGCCTTGGTGACCTGCCTGGTAGGAAACAGGCGAAGCAGTGAGTCAGGAGGGGGCCACTCCAGGCCAGGCGGGGCAGGTCCTGCCTCAGTCCCCGCCTCCTGGCTGGGGCTGCCTGCATCTTCAACCTCCTGAGCCATTTTCTCATCAGCACAATGGGATCATGCCAAACCTCTTGGGGTTGTCAGGATTAAGAAAAACAAGTGGTACTGAGTGCTTAGCACAGTACCTGGTTCAGGTCAGTGCTCAATGCACAGTGGCTGATAAACGGAGGACGAAGGTTAGTGGAGAGCTGGCCAAAGTCCCCCAGATAGACCTGCCTGTGACCAGAAGAAGGCCATGCCCAGCCTCCTCTCTCTACTCCAGCACAGGACCCTCGATCGGGAGATGAGCCATCCCAGCCCTGGTTTGAGAAAGGCAGCTGAATGGACCAGAGGTGATTCAAGAAGACTGTGACTGGCAGAGCTCTTGGGACTTGTGGAAACATATGTCTTCCTGCCCAGGGGAGGGATAGGGAGAGCAGGGGTAATGACATTTCACATAAGCAGGAACACACAAAGAGAGGAGGCAATGCCTCTCCCCGCCTCGTCCTGTGCCACTTCCTGTGATGACAGGATGGAACATCTGAGGTTGGGAAGGTTCTAGAAGCTTCTGACTGAAATGCCATGGAATGGAGGTAGGGGGAAAGAGCAGACTGGCTCTTAGGAGGGAGGAGTTGGGGTCCCTGAAGTCTGGAGGCCAAAGTCAAAGCTGCTGGACTGCCCCACCCGCCATTTCCAGGGACAATGGCAAAGCCCAGGAGATGACAGAAGTCCCCAGGGTGGGCCCTGGTGGGAATGGGCATTGCCCACCAGTAGCAGGAGCAACAGAGGGAGCAGGTGATGAGACCCACAAGTCAGGGGCAGAGCATCTAACCTCCCCATATACACACCCGGTGCTGTGTATGGACTGCGCTCACCACTCCCTGGGGAGGCCCTCTGGGAAGGGAAGTTGGTGGATCTGCCGTCATAACGAGCTTGAACCTGAACTCTGTCCTCGCAGGATGTGACTAATGAATTTTCAGAGACTCAAGCCTGTGTGTAAGGGATGACAGGCACTGTACTTTTTCCTACTGTGGCAGCCTGGGCTCGAGAACCACTGCTCTAAACCCATTTCCACCTTGTAGCTGCAAGACAATCATGGGAGCCTCCACCTCAGGGCAGCTAGAACATCCAGTGGGCCCATCGGGTCCTGATCCACTAATGCTGCGATGTGACCCAAGAAAGGAGGGGTGCGTGAACTGTCACGACTTATCCCTAGGGAACTAACGCCACCGCCTCACTCAACCCCTATATTCTTGGTCAGTTGCTCCCAAAGCATTTTGAGGCAATCTCTTTGACAAAGAACAGTGATCTGCAGGTTAACTCCCCATACTGAAAACCGCCCTATTCACAATCAGGTCTTCTGACCCCTCCCTCTTCTGGGCCCTGCAATTCCTCAGACCCCACAGTCGTGTTAGCATCACCAACTCCCCTTGCTCCCTGAGATGTCGTTCTTCTGGGCCCCTGAAAGTAGCCCCCCTTCAGGAAGCCACAACTCCCTTCTCCCACTGCCCACCCAACCTGTCCTACACAAAAGGTCCCCACCAGTCGCTGGGCCTCTGGGGCCTGGGAAAGCAGGAGTGAGCAGCTCGAGGGGGAGGGCTGGGTAGATGTCGGGGGGTGGACAGTGGCTTCCAGGGAGAGTCCAGTGGGATAACTCAGCTAGAGTGGCATCCCAGTCGACTGCCTCAGGGCCAGGAGGTGATGAGAATGTGAGGAGAGGTTGGAGGGAAACCTCAGGGAGCAGTGAGGCTGTGGTCCTGGGGAGGAAGCAGGCCCCACCCCAAAACATTCCAGTTCCTGGCTTGTCAAACACTGTGCCGGCCAAGTAAACATGGCTGTAGACTCTGTGGTCAACCACCCTCTGGCCTGGTCCCGACCTCTGGCTCAAGTCCAGCCTGTCTAAGAGGAGCTGCCCTCACCACAGCCTGGGGGGCCGCAGTGGGGTGGGGCAGAGCTGGCTGGACCAGAGCAGCCACTGACCTGAGGGCCCCTCAGAGCCTGGCCCTGGAATGGAACTGGGCACAGAACCAGTCAGCTGCTGGGGTGGGACCAGAAGGTCACACTGGCTCAGGAAAGAAAGGGCGAGGTGAGAGAAACCATAGAGACCCATGAGGATGGGGGGTGTGGCTTCTGTTCTGACATTTGGGGTCCAGTCCCTGGCTGCTGGGAAGCCCAAGGCGCACATTATGCTCCCAACACCATCCCTTTACCTTTACCCACGTGCGACTGTCCTCACAGCAGGTAACTAATCCCGCAGAGACTCACCGCACACTCACCTGTACTGGGCCATGTCCAGCTTGTTACCCAGCAGGAGGGCTGGGTAGCTGCGCTGTGTCTCCTTGGCATGCAGGGCGAGCAGCTCCAGGTAGCTGCTGCTGCCCTCGAAGCTCTGGCGGCTGTCCACGCTGTAGACCACCAGGAAGGCGTGGGCCCAGTTCAGGTAGCGCTCACAGTTCCTGGGGGTGTCCTGGGCGAGAGGGACAAGTCCACCCAGGGGCACGCGAGGTCATGGGCAGCGGGATAAAGACCTTCACCTGAGCCATCCCTCCTGCTTCCCCACACCAGGTCTCTGTATATTGTTCCCCACCCGAGCCCTTTTCAAAGGAGCACTTGAGCGTGGACTTGGCTCGGTGTGAAAGGAGACATTGTCTGGTGACCCCCGCCCAGCCAGAGACTTGGAGACCTTGGCTGCTCGGGCACAGAGCCAAGGACTTGGCACAGCTCCTACAGGGCCCTGTTGTCTCTGGGCACTGCTAACTCCGGGTCAAGTTCATGCTGCCCCCTTGGCTTCTGAGAATAACTGGCATCTGGCCTTGGCAAGGGGGGGGGTGAGGACGTGGGGGAGATGGCCAAGGGGCTCTCACCAGGAGCATTTGTGTAAAAAAGTGTGCACCTGTCTGCCTGTGTGCACAAACGAACAGCTCCACCACACAGGGGCCCAGAGCTGGCACTAGCAACTCCCCCGGCCCAATCCCATCCTGCTCATTCAGCAAATGAAGGAGTTGGGCTCAGGAAGTCGGTGCCTCACTTAGGATCATGCAACAAGTCGGACTCTTCAAGGGATCCTAACTCCCTGCTCTCCAAGGGGATTGGGTAAGGTTACCTACCGGGTCTGCAGTGTCCATGACCCTCAGGTGGACGGGCTGGTGGTCCACGGTCTCCTCAGAGCTGTAGGTGTCCTCTGCAACACAGACAGTCAGCCAGGTGAGGGACAGGGTGGGCCGCTCGACAGGGAGCTGGGTCTGAGTCTCAGCTGGATCCCCATGCAGATTGGAGGGGCCCCAGGAGCTGCTACGGCCTCAGCTGAGCTGGATGCAGAAGAACTCTCACCAAACAGGCACTGCTTCACCTGCTGGGCTGAGCATCACAGGCCGTCCCTTGGGACAGGCCAGAAGGGACCCAGCTAGCAGCACAGGCTCAGGAGTGGCCCTGCCAGCCCTTCCTCCTCAAACCCCAAGCCTCTCCACTGTCTGCCCTTCCTACACCAGTACCCAGCCCACGGGACAGTCCCAAGGACACTTCTGCCCCAGTGGGAGCAGAGATGAGGGAAATGAGAAGCACATGACATTGTGAATGCAGGGCTCTCAGACCCCAAACAGAAGCTCCAAGAGGGTTTTACAAATAATCCTTGTCCTTCTAACAGCAGAAGAGTTTTAAACTGTAGATGTGGAACCAAAGCCAACTTTAGCGACTTTTTAGCTGTGTACTTGGGCCAAGTCAGTTCAGTTCTCAGGGGACTCTGAAATCATCTTAAAATGGGCACAATGGTGGCCAACAGTTTCCAAGCTTTCCTCTGTGCCAGGTGCTGCGCTGAGTGCTTGTTCCTGGCCTGCACTTTAACAGCCCCATCTCCCAGAGCTGAGCGAGGCTTGGATGGGCACAGGGGGCCGGCACCACCTGGAAAGGGGAGGGGCCCAGGGAGCATCGAAGTGTACAGGCCAGGCTCCCACTCCTAGCTGATTTTTTTCTTTTGAAATAAATTCAGATTCATGACTTACTAAATAGTGCAGTGTTCCCGTGCACGTTTCCCTAAGCTGCCCCCAACATTAATACCTTACATAACCCTAGCACGTACCAAACCCAGACATCCACACTGGTACTCTACCATGAACCGAACTGCTGACCTTATTTGGATTTCACACGTTTTTTAGTATTATTTTTTCCATTTCTTATGACCTCAAACTTCAGAAAGCAGCTAGAGGTCAGCGGTCAGGCATGCAGATGGGACATCTCTGCCATACTGGCAATGAGTTTCCCCACCCCCAGTCTTCCCCGGGACTCCAGCTCACGTACACACCTTTCCCTGGGTGCCACCTGGGGCATGGCCCGCCGAAAACCTCCCCAGGAATGGGGATGCTCTCAGCCCCCCTGGAGGCGGCAGCCAGGCTGAAGGTACAGCCACACACTTCCCTGAGCACCGCCAGGAGCCAGGCAGCCTGGACACACTCCAGGGCCCTTAGCATCCAGCATGAATCACAGACAGTGCCTCGTCCCCAGCCTGCTTTGGGGACTTGGATAAATAGCTGCTGTTACGCAAAGACCAAAAAAAAAAAAATCAAATGGAAAACATGCCCCAAATGTTTAACTATATTTGGCCCAAGAGGAGCTGTCCCTAGATGCTGACATCGCGTTCACATTTGTCTTCATGCTCCTGCCAGCGCTGCCCCGTGCACCCCTTTTAGGTGCTCCCCCCCTGCAGATGCGAAGTCCCGCCCAGCCCAGCCTTGGTCCCCTCTGTGCCATGCAGCCACCAGCCTTTCACTTGCCCATGCCACACAGCAGCCTATGAGTAGAAGGGACTTGAACTTGGGGCTGGCTTCCCACCCGGACCCCTCATTCCCCAACCATTCGGTGGATCAGCTGGTCCCCTGGCTCTGAGCAGACGGCAAGGGAGACGAGAGGCACCCAGTCTTCCCTGACACAGGGCACCCTGGAGTCCTGAAATATCCACACTACCTAACCCCTAGAACTCACTGATATTCTGGGCACCTTAAGGTTGAGGAGAGCCCTGTCCCAAAGCATTTCTCTGTCATTTACAGTAACAATCATTTTTTAAAAGGCACCCAAAAAAGTTCTGGTCAGAGTATGGATGTCCTTACTGGACCAGAGTGAAAAGAAGAGAGGGTGAAGCTGGCACCGTCCCCACCTGCTGTGAAAGAGCAGGGCCCTGGGGACCTTCGTCTCCTCCCAGGGGCTCGGCACAGGCACAGAACTCTCTGCTCCGGTCAGCTCTCAGTCACAGCCACAGCATGGCACAGATCTGACAGCGACAGAGCTCGGGCTGTCAGGCCCACCTTCCAGAGGGGGAAACAGGGTCAGAGAGCACAGTGCTACATGGACCTCTGACCGGGCCCCTGTAACATAAGGCTGCCCCTACTGAACACAAACAGAGCGGTCCTTCATCTTCCTTTGTACCCGAGGCTCTCTGTGGTCTTAGGCAAATCACTGAGTTCTCTGTGCCTCAGTTTCTCTGCCTGAAAAATGGGTGATAATAGGAGCTGTTCTTTGAAGGACAACCCTAAAACCCAAACTCAGCACCCCAGGGAAGAGTCTCTGTTGTTGCCTTGTACTGTGCCCCCAGCTGGAACTAAGCTCAAATCTCCACCTCAGGGGGCCCCAAGCTCTTGGGAGACCCTGGAAAAGGCTAAAGAGCTGTCTGCCAACATGTGTCTGAGGCACAGCCTCTCCCGAATCCCAGCTTTCTCCACAGAAGGACAGGCTTGGGTCCCACAGTCCCGGCTGCTGCTGGAACCAAGAGAGGACAGGAACTGGCAAGTTGAGGCAGTTCTCGGCAGTGAGATGGAGCCCCAGGAATGGCACTGGCCCCCAGAAAGTCTCTGCAGCTCAGGGCAGTGACTAAGCACTGTGCCCACCCCCACCCCCCACCAGTCTGACCACACATTCCAGCACCAGGTCAGAGCCTCAGTTACTCAACCAGGAAACGCAAACCACCCTGGAACAGGCTCACCCAGGGACCCTGGTGCAAGGTATGGTCTGGGGCCAGGGAAGGAGACATATGGGAAGTGGGTTGCCAGGAAAGAGCCAGGATGCCTGGTGATGCCTGAACATCAGATGCACTGGAAGTAGTTTTCAGTACAAGCAGCCTGCCTGCACGATCTGACCTGGGAAAAATGTCCTTGGGAATCCCCCTTGTCCCCTCCCAGACACCTGCCTGCCTGTGTCTTTCCTTCCCGGCGTCCACCTCCTCCTGTCCTCCGTTCCTCCAGCTCTGTCCACTCCTAACCCCTGCCTCAGCCAGCATGACACTGCGTCCCATGACCTGTTCCCTCAGCAGGTGACCTCTGCTGATCAAAGTCTTGGGGACTGTCACCACACTGCCTGTCCTACAACCCCAGCCTAACCAGGGGAATCCCTCCAAATTCTCTTTGACAGCCTGGGTTCTGTTAAGATCTCTTTAGAGGAAGGGATTATTTTATTCATGAAAAAAATAGGACCAAGGTCCCCTGAGGACCCCCTGCTCTGGCACCAGGACTCAGTACTCTCGCCCAACCTGAACAGAGGGGCTGGTGGGCACCAGAGGGCTCCGCTCTTTCCTCTGGGCAGCCTCATGGCATTTCCCAGGGGCCTGCTGTGCTGGGTGCTGCACCACTGGGGGGTCCAGCCTGCGTCACTGAGCCCTGGGTCTCCCTGCAGACCTCCTACCAATGCTTTTCTCAATTTCTATCAATGAGGAATTAATCCAATGCCCATTTTCAAAAGCCTAACATCATCCAGACACCCTATTGGTTCCAGGAGATGGTTTACAAAAAAATATGTTACTGCCCAGTGGAGAAATAACTGTGGAGCACACCATATTCCTCACACTCAAGAGGCTGAGGCAGGAGGATCATGAGTTTGAGGTCAACCTGGGCTACACAAACATTTCCAGGCCAGCCTGGACTACACAGGGAGACCCTACCTCAAAACAAACAAACCAACAAACAAAAAAACCCAAGCAAACAAAAAGTTATAAATGAGATATGTTATACTGGTACGAATAAAATGCTGCTTTTATTTAAGTATTAAGGGTCCATGTAAGAAGATATTTTAGGGCCGGGGATGTAGCTCAGTGGTTTCGCCGCCTGCTGTGCAAGCGCAAGGACCCGAGTTCGATCCCCAGTACCAAAAAAAAAAAAAAAAGAAGTTATTTTAGGAAAAGGTCCTGTGGCTAAAAATATTTTCAAAAACAATGATCTGATCAATCTGAGAGAATCTCAGTCACCAGGCCTTGGAAAAGCAAACATGTTATAAGCACTGACTGTGGGTCAAGCACAAGGCTAGATCTTCTTCTAGATCTTCTTTAATCCTCACCGTAATTCTCTGAGATAGGTATTTGTATTCCTGTTTTACAGACGGAGAAACAATAGCTCAGAGAGGGTAAGCAACTCTCTCAAGGTTGCCAATTGGCAGAGCAAGAATTCGAACCCAGCTCTGAGGGGCACCAAAACATCCCCTTTTCCAATATACCATGATACAACTAAAAAATAAAATGAGTAGGATATGGTAGTGCACACCTGTAAACCCAGCTACTCAGGAGGCTGAGGCAGGAGGACACAAATTTGAGGTCAGCCTGGGCAACTTAATGAGACCCTATGTCAAAAATCAAATTTCAAAGGGCTAGGGATATATAGCTCAGTGGTAGAGAGCTTGCTTAGAACCTGCGAGGCCCTGGGTCCAATCCCCATTACCACAAAATCAACAAAAAGCAAGACAAGTTTCCTCATGTGGTTCAAAAACAGTCAGAAGCCAGCACCACTAGAGAACTTCCCAAATGTCTCTCCTGCTCAGCTTTTCTGGAGAAGAACACTGAGTGACCATCTAGGAGAACAACACCTATTTGGACGTGGACATCTGCTATGTTCAGGGCTTTTTATTTTCATTTTTTAAAAGTTTTACCACACCTCATATTTGGGGACGAATCAGTCTCTCTTAGTTCTCTGAGTTGAGCTGACCTCCCAGTTGTCTGGAATGGGCCACGGAGGGGGATTTGTGGCACTTAAAATATTTCTTGAGCTGGGGAGGGGAGCCCATGCCTGTGATCCCAGCACTCTGGGAGTCTGAGGCAAGAGGATCACAAGTTCGAGCCTAGCCTGTGTGACCTGGCAAGTTAGCAAGACCCTGTCTCAAAATAAAAAAGAGCCAGGGATGTAGTTCAATGAGAAAGTACTGAGTTCAATCCACGGTACCAGGAAAAAATGGCCACTGGCTGAGTTATCCTGGTGATGACTACTTCTGTCCCCAGATGTCAGTCCCCAGGAATACTCCAGGTGGGGAACAGGCAGGGCAGCAGGAGGTCCAGGGACAAGTGGTTTCTTACCCAAGTTGGGGTCATATTCGCTGATAAACCTCTTGGTCAGGAACTTCACAGTCAGGGCTGCGGGAAGCAGATTGAGAGGGCTCAGTGTCCACCGCAGTGTGTGGCTAATGCCTAGGAGGTAGCACTTCCATGACCCTTGGCTGACACCAGGCTTGAGAGGCTCAGAAGGAAACAGAAATATGGGGGCAAGTCCCATCCAGTCCCACCCTGGATTTTTTTTAATAGCAAGAGCCAATGAGAGGCCGGGCTAAGGAGGTGTTGGAGACCCAAAAGCAGTGGTCAGGACTCGTGAATTAGTTACCTGGGGTCAGCCTGGTGAGACCCCCAACCGAAGGGACCTCTCCCCACCCTGGACAAGTCACACAGATTCCAAAGCATGGGGCATTTATTCCAGCTTTGCTACAAGCCAGAGAGACAGTGAGAGCAGAGCTGGGCTGTGGGCCACAGAGGGTTTGAGCCCCAAGGGCCGGGATTCCAGACAAGGTCCAGGCGAGATCTGTGTACCAGCAATCACACCTGAGTCCTGGAGCTCATGTCTCAGGGCTCGGCTATCCAAGGGCCTCCCCGTCCCTCCTGGATACGCCACAGGACCGAGAATCCAGGATCAAGTTCTCGGGGGTTGGGAGCACAGAGAGGACCCTGATTCTGTCTGGAGTTTAGCCACATGAAGGTGAGGTCAGCCAGCTCTGCCACTGGACTGTTACAAAATCAAGAAAACCTCTCAGTTCTTTGCTAAAAGTCCTCACAGGGTCGGTTTGCCAACGACCAACGAATACCGAGGGAATAGATTTTGAAATTTAAATTCCTTCATTCATGTAGTCACTGGCTAAACTGGACCAGCCACCGAGATGCAGACAGCAAGCTGACATTCAAAGGGACAAGGACAAATCTTTTCTGGAGAAAAACCAGATTCTAGGACCCCTCTTGGAGCCAGGAAGGCTGGAGCAGGGCAGGACACTCGCTGATAGCCACAACCGGACAAAGAGCCAGTGGAGGGGTCCCCTGTGTCCCCCTACTTACAGATGCCTGCAGTTGTCAGTGGCAGGCAGAGACCAACACCCTATCTGGGCCTCTCTGCCAATGGTGACAGTTGCCAGGAGAAACTGTGGTGAAAGCACAGCTCAGTGTCAGCAGAAATGTTCTCAGTGGAAGCCCAAGGTCTGGGTTCATCAAAGACAAGTCCCAGAGACCCATGTGGCACAGAGGCAGGCCTGGATGTGCAGACCTGTAGTCCCCGCACTCTGAGAGGCTGAGGCAGGACGACTGCAGGTTCAAGCCCAGCCTGGGCAACTTAGTACCTTAGCAAGACCCTGCCTCAAAATTTAAAAATAAAAAGGGCTGGGGATGCAGCTCAGTGTGAAGGCCCTGGGTTCAATGCCCAGAGAAGGAAAAAAAAAAACAAGTCTCTGACACGTGGGACCACAGCCCAACATATTTCTAGAAAGTAGAGAGATGTGTTTGAAACAAATATGATTGATAAGCATGCACAGCTTGTCCCAGGATCCCAAGGAACTGAGGTGGCCCTTGCCTGAGAAATCCCAAGGGCCAGGGACCTCTACCAATTACCTTCCATGGGGGGTGAGCAGTGACAACCTGAATCAAGGAATAGCAAGGGTGTGACCAAGCTCAAAGATCAGAGCCCAACAGGTCCCCTTGGTGCCAGTCACCCAGGCTGGCTGCTGGCCCCAGGGAGAGGAGACGGGAGTGGGGAGGCGAGGTGGACTTGCAGGCCCAAAGAGAAAGGGTACAGGGTGGAAGAGAATACAGCGGGGGGTCACAGCCATGCAAGACAGAGACACAGAGGGAAGAGGCAGACAGGAGCAGAGGACAGAGGAGGCAGGGGAGGTGGAGGGGCTGCGCACAAGGGCGGAAGAGCTGAGAGAATCAACAAAGGAGAAACTGAGGCAAAGAAGAAAAATCACAGGGGCTCGCCCAGCCCAGCTAGGCAAGGAAGCCCCCAAAGCCACAGCGCCCCGTCCCCACCCCGCCCGCGCCACTCACCGGACTTGCCGGCCCCGCGGCGACCCAGGATGGCCAGGTTGACCTCGAGGGGCGCGCTCGGGGGCCCGGGGCCCGCGCGGGGCTTTCCGAACACCGAGGCCATGGCGACCGCGGAGGGCGACACGGAGGCGGACGGACGGCCCCGACCCGCGCCCGCCCACCCGTCGGTGTCGCCAGAGCCGTCGGCGTCCGCGTCCGCGCCCGCGCCGATCCGAGCCGAGCCCGTTCCCGCCGCGAGGTGGGGGAGGGGCAGCGGGCGGGGCCCGAGCCCGCGAGCTCCTTTTAAGGGCTCATCCCGCCCCGGCGCGGGCAGGGGGTTCCGGTGTCCCAGACCCGGCCGCTAAGGACCCGAGACGGGGCGACCCCGGATATGGGGATACAGCCTTCCCTGGGCCTCTTCCCATCAGCAAGAAAACCCACCCCTTCCTTTTCCGACCACCCGCCCCGCCTCCTCCTCCAGGAAGCCTCCCAGCTTGACCCCTTGCCTGGCACTTTCAGATCACCGCATGGCCTCTACACCCCCAGCCTGGCCCTTGGGTACGGGGACCCTTATGTGTCATCACTGCAGAAGCCAGGCTCCTGGGAAGAGGGGTGAGAGCCCCCTTCTAAGGCTTCATGGTCAATATGGGTTCGGCTTCCAGACACCTCATCCATCCCGGATTACTGTTTCTCCCTGATGGGAGCTAATGAGTTGCATGTGTTAGTGGTCTGTTGGGTAAATGGGGCATTTGTACTAAAACCTGGCACCCCGGTCCTGCCTACAGCAATTGTGGGATTGCTGGTGAGGCTGACAGTCACCTGGCCATTCCCTTGGGCCTCAGGGTAAACCTGGTCAGGCGGGAGACAGGGCAGGGGCTCACCAAGAACCCAGACACTTCAGATCTAGAGCGTGCCTTCCCCTGGGTGACCCTGGGCGAATTCTCTCACTTCCCTGGGCTTTGGGGTCCCCAACTGCAAATCCTAAAGAGAAGGGGAAATAAATCTAAAATGCTGACTCTGGCCTAAGAGTGACAGAATCAGCCCTGTCTTCTGGACTCCAGGTTGGAGCCCAGAAGGGGACAGGAGCCTCACTACCCCCATTCCCTGTCCCCCAGATGGCCAGCTGACTATCCACACATCCACAGGAGAAGCCATGGCAGCCCAGGTCCACATAGGGTGGTAACAAGAAGGAAAAGTTCCTGGACTGGACATGAATTTTGACTCCACAGAACTGAGTTTGGATGATCACAGTAAAGCAGCAGACTCTGAGGTACCAGGAGGAATTTGTTTCCATCACACCCTAAGTCAGAGTTGCTTACACAGCTAATGGCCCAGGGTTTTCCTTTGAGTTGTAGGAGTTGGGAAAGTGGAAGCCAAGTTCTAGCCCCATCTCTGGGCTGGCCACAGTCCTGTGCAGACAGACTGGTTCCCAGCGCGAACTGGGGGCAGAGAACCAATGTCACCAGAGGGCCTTGAGGCAGAAGACAAGCTGGGGGCATGCTCAAGGCCTGCGCACTTGAGCCCTGCTACTTCCCAGCTTGTGCAATGCTAGTTACAGCCAACAGCTCAGTCTGCCCCTGCTCAAAGGCAGCCTTGGAAAGACAAGTGTCTACTCACAGCTGCCACCGGTCCCCGCCCTCACCATCAGTCTCCTCGCCTTCACCAGCTGCCCACAGTGGCCTGGGAAGACCTTGGGAATCAAGCCCCTGAATAAGCTACCTGGCCCTCTGGGCCTCAATTCCTTATCTGTAAAATACGGAGATTGTGAAGGGGTAGGGAACAAAGAAGTGCCACACCCAGAGTTTGGCTCAGGGCCCCAAAAAGCAACAGAGAGTTCTCTCTGCTCCATCTGCAACAGTAGCACACAGCTCTTACCCACCGACCAAGAACTCAGTGTGCAAAAGTTTAGAGAGCAGAAGTTTGGACTCTTGAGTTCAGGAGAGAGGTCATTTTGTTAGAGCAAGCAGCTGCATTTCCCCTCTCGACCCCCAGGCCCCTGACACATGTCCCTCGTGTGAACTGGAGCCTGTGTGAGGTCTTCCTGAATCCAGGTCCCAGGTGGCTCTAAGAGCTACTCCAAGAAAGCTAAGCTTGCGCAAGCCCTTTGTGATGCCACTGCCTTTCCCAGAGACAGGACAACCACTCCTGTGGTAGTGTGATGATAATTTTAGATGTCAAAGCTGGACAGAATTGTGGAAGTCAGATCCAAACTCCACCTTCCAGGTGGAGAACTGAGGCCTGGAGGGGCTGGGGAGCTTTTGTATGCCAAGTCAAAGCCCAGGCGAGACCCGGGTGTGATGGTGTGCACCTGTGATCCCAGCACTCTTGGGAGCCTGAGGCAGGAGGATTTCGAGTTCCGGCCAAGCCTGGGCAATTTAGAGACTAAAGAGAAAAATTTTTTAAAGGGTTGGGGGTGGTATGGGTCAGTGCAAAGGCCCTGGGTTCAATCTCCAGGAACACACACACACACACACACACACAACCCAGGCAGGAATTCTGACTCCTCATCCGGTGCTCCTCCTGCTCCAGGTCTGGAAGTGCAAGCTACCCACTATCCTGTGGGCAGAAACTTCACCATGGTGGAGCCAGCCAGGGCTCCCCCATCACGCTTGGGGAGGGGGCTCCCAGAGTAAGGGCTGTGTCTCCTCCATCGGACTGGAGGTTCTCCTGGGAAGTCTCCATCTGATCAGGAGCTCCCCCGGGTAGGACCAGGGCCCCACTTAACAGACTCCTACTGTGTGCCAGCCCGGTGGACAGCTGCAGAGATGAACAAGGCCGGGCCTGTACTGTAGAAAGCTGAGTCTGATGCGGATTCCTTTCCTGGCCCCCACGCCCTCCTCGCACAGCGTGGCAGGGGCCACTGCGGAGGCGGAGGGAGCGCGGGGTCGTCAGGGCCTGGGAACTCCGTGGGCCGCCCACAGCCAGGATGCTGCCGCTTACTCTCCAAGTCCCAGAGGGACGCTCAGCGTCTGGGAGGAGGAAACGCTCCCAGCTGCGGGGCGGCAATCGCTGGGGCTCCCGGTGGGACCAAAGGTTGCTCCTCACCCCGCCCCACAACCACGCCCCCCACCTCGGTGACCCTCTCCAGGAGCCTGGCTACTGCACGTGAAGGTCAGGTCGGCGTGTGCACCAGCCCGACCCACTTAGTGGGGCTGGGCCCGGGGACAAATCGAGCCTGGCAGGCAGCAAATTCTGCCCGGAGGGGTCGCGCTCCCTTTGCCGGAGGGGCCGGCCGGGCCAGTGATAGCTCCTTCCGGTTGTGTATGGCCACTACCAGGCGTCTGAACTGGACAAGAACTGTATCCCGGGGCAGCCCCACCCTCCTCCCTTACTTGAGCCTTGCAGCAGGCAGCAAGGCTACCAGTAGTACAGGTGACAAGGCATGGCCTGGCTTGGCCCCAAAACAGGGCCGAGGGGCTCTGTCCAGTCTCCGGACCCATTCCTGGTCAGGAAGAGCTCCTTCCATCTGCGAGCCTCCCCTCTTTCTCTGTGAGCTGGGGACAGGCAGACCTCTGCCCAACACCACAGCCTCTGGCAAGGACAGTCGGGACCTGGCACCACAGATTCCCCACTTGTCCCCAAGAGAGGGTGTTATGCCCATTGCCTGGACCTTCCAGGCCCTTTCAGCCAGTGCCAGGCCTCAGGAAAGATGAGAAGCTGGCAGAGGGCCTGGGACAGTGTTCACAGGGACTCCTGCCTAGTCCCCCACTGCTGCCTCTTCTTCCTGTCTGGTCCCTGGGGCAGAATATCGGAGATATTTCTGGCTGCCTGTGGCCTCCAGCTTCCCAGGCTCGGACAAGTGGCCCCCACATGCTGCCACTCGGGTGGAGTGAACTGAGTGGGAGGCACATGGCTGGGGGCTGCAGATTCACCCTGAGGATCTGCGGGAGTCCTCAGAGGGTGGGATGTTCCTGTCCTCCTCCCGCCTCCTGCTCGGTCCTCCAAGCCGCTCCACCCTCATCCTTCGGAAATGAGCATCTCTGAAATGGCAGTCACCATCCTGTGAGGCTCTGGGCCTCAGTTTCCAAGTGGCAGGAGAAGATGACCATAAACGCCTCTCGTGGGACCCAAAGTCTTAGCTGACCACCTATGAAAGTTCTGCCTTAGGCTAAGCAGCAGGAGGCCTGGGTTGTTCCCTTTCCCTCTGCCCTAGGTCCCCCACTGTAAATGAAAGGGTTGGACCCATGGGCCTGAGGCTCCATCTGATTGCCCGGCATCTGTAGCACAGGGAGGCAGCAGAGCACAGTGGTTAGGAGCACACACTCTAGACCAGTGATGGCGAACCTTTTAGAGTTTTCAACGATAACAAACAGCCAGCTACAACACTTGTGCCATAGGTTCGCCACCACTGCCCTAGATTCAAACTAGCTGCTTCCAGTCCTAGTTCTGAAACCCTCTGACCATGTGACCAAAGCTCTTGGTCCCTAGTATCCTCACCTATGAAACAGAGCCATTAATAATAACCAAATCAAGCCAATGTGTCATGGTCCAAGCCTATTGCATGCTGGGCAATCTTAGCTCTCTGGGAGCCTGAGGCAGGAGGATTGCAAGTTCAATCCCAGCATAGGCAATTTAGTGACTTAGTAAGACCTTGCATCACAATAAAAATAAATAATTTTTTAAAACTATAAAGGGCTGGGGATGTAGCTCTGCGTGGAGGTCCTGCATTCAATTCCTAGTACCACCAATAAAAAAAAAGTTAGCTGTGATTATTTTAAGAACTCTTCTTTCTATCCTCAGGCACATACCCTCCTAGGCCTCCCATTTTCCTTCTTCTAAGGTCCAGAACCACACAGAAACAGAGAGGGTCTAGCAAATAGACAATGACATCAGCTCCTGCTCCCATCCCATTGGGGATTATTTGCACATATAGCTTATTGGCCACTCATCTGCAAGGCAGAGATGCTATGCTACTCCTCCCTTTTTACACAAACAGTACTGAGGCTTGCAAAAGCGTCAGGCTCACCTAGAGGCAGGGCTCAGACCACATGAGAACTCCGGTCCCCAGACCACTCGTTTTGCCCAGCTTCTGCCTGGCCCGCCCCTCTGAGCCGATGGCCTGGGGTGGGTATGAATCCTGTCCTGCCTTCTGGCTGAATCCCCCTGGACAGGCCACCCAAACTGAGCCTCATTCAGAATGCTTTGCAGATACCACTCCAACCTTGGGAAACAGCTGTCACTTTGAAGGCAAATAAGGTGAGGAGGGAGTTAGGACGCTTGCTTTGCATAAGGGCACAGGGTGAGAGTTAATCGGGCCATTTGTGCAACCAGGCTATCCCTGCAAGCCACAGTTGCAGTGCCCAGCATGCAGTAGGTGCTCAGTATTCCGTCACTAGTGTCACTACTTCTCCCATCAGAGTGACCTCACAGGTCTCCAGATGCCCTCCAGGCCTGTGGCCACGCTGCCCGCTGGCCACCACATCACATGACCTGTACTATCTTTAGCCAGGGAGGTATTTATATCCCCGGGGAAGTTCTTCTGTCACGGCGGAGCCCCAGCGCCAGTGGCCCGCGGCTCCCGGCCCCGGTGACCCAGCATGCCGCGGGGCCCCGAGGTCCCCGTGCAGGTGTGGGTGGGCGGCCAGCTGTTCCAGGCCGAGCAGGGCCTGTTAGTGGAGCACTGCGGTTTCTTCCGAGGCCTCTTCCGTTCGGGCATGCGGGAGGCGCGCGCCGCCGAGGTGCGCTTGGGGGCGCTGAGCGCCGAGGGCTTCCGCACGGCGCTGCAGGTGCTGCGCGGGCAGCGGCCGGCGCTGGCCGCAGAGGAAGAGCTGCTGCAGGCCGTGGAGTGCGCCGCCTTCCTGCAGGCCCCGGCGCTCGCGCGCTTCCTGGAGCACAGTCTCACGACCGACAACTGCGCGCTGCTGTGCGACGCGGCCGCTGCCTTCGGCCTGCGCGATGTGTTCCACAGCGCCGCGCTCTTTATCCGCGACGGCGCCCGCGAGCTGGCGGCCGGGCTGGCGCTGCCCGAGGCCCGCGCCTACGTGGCTACCCTTCGGCCCAGCTACTACGTGGCGCTGAGCACTCACACGCCCGCGCCCGGCTTCCTGGAGGACAGGTCTCGCACCATGTGCTACCTGGACGAGGAGGAGGACGCGTGGCGCACGCTGGCCGCGCTGCCCCTGGAGGCCAGCACGATGCTGGCGGGCGTCGCCACCCTGGGAAACAAGCTGTACGTCGTGGGCGGTGTGCGCGGCGCCAGCAAGGAGGTGGTGGAGCTGGGCTTCTGCTACGACCCTGACGGCGGCACCTGGCGCGAATTCCCCAGCCCGCACCAGCCGCGCTATGACCCGGCGCTGGCCGGCTTCGAGGGCTGCCTCTACGCCATCGGGGGCGAGTTCCAGAGGATGCCTGTGAGCTCGGTGGAGCGCTACGACCCGGCCGCGGGCTGCTGGAGCTTCGTGGCCGACCTGCCCCAGCCTGCTGCGGGTGTGCCCTGCGCCCAGGCGCGTGGCCGCCTCTTCGTGTGCCTGTGGCATCCCGCAGACACCACGACCATCGTGGAGTATGTGACGCAGACCGACGCTTGGCAGCCAGTGGCCGAGCTGCGGCGTCCGCAGAGCTATGGCCACTGCATGGTGGCCCATCGCGACAGCCTCTACGTGGTGCGCAACGGACCTTCTGACGACTTCCTGCACTGCGCCATTGACTGTCTCAACTTGGTCACAGGCCAGTGGACAGCATTGCCCGGCCAGTTTGTCAACAGCAAGGGAGCACTGTTCACGGCCGTGGTGCGCGGGGACATAGTCTACACAGTCAACCGCCTGTCCACGATGCTCTACGCCATCGAGGGCGGCACCTGGCGGCTGCTCAGGGAGAAGATCGGCTTTCCCCGGCCCGGCTCCTTGCAGACCTTTCTGCTGAGGCTGCCCCCTGGAGCTCCCGGGCCTGTGGCTTTGCCTTTGCCAGAACTGTGACCTCCAAACTGGCTTTAGAGGAAACATCCTGAGTCGTCCCTGAGCTGAGGGTGTGTGAGGCTGGCCTGGGGAGCCACTGAGAACTTCTGACCTATAGACACACTCAGTTCCTGGCCTTCTAGTGGCGTGAACCGAGGAGCTCAGGGAGCCCCAACAGCTGGGGTCGGAGCCCTCAGATCACTTGGCCTCTGCTGGGAGCTGGTGGGTCACAATGTTAGCAAGAGGGGTAGGGGCTTAGGATTTGAATAACCCATGCTTGTACATGACCAGGCCACTAATCAAGCATGGCTAAATGTGAGCTAAGTAATAGTAACCAAACCACCAATCAGTAGGCAACGACTAGGTGCCCAATGTATGCCCAATACAGTGCTAGACCTAACGAGAGATGTGGTCACTGGGCAGGGATCCACACAGCTTAAGATCTAGCCCAGAAAACCTCAGTCCTAGCAGGACAGTTCCAGAACAACAGAAAGCTTACACATATTTGTCTCCCTCCACAAAAGATTGAAAGCAACATGCTACTTTAAAAAGAAAAAGAAACCACCACAGCAGGATAACAGGGACATAAGGAGAGGAGAAACAAATAACTTCCAGAAGGAGGAGAGTGTACAGATTGTAGGGAGGAGACAGGCAGGCTTCTGTGGAAAGGGGAGACTGGGAGAGGAGAGGGGGAAGGTAGATGGGGAAGATGCTCCGTGAGCCCCGCCTTGGGGGCAGAGGCACCGTGGATGGAGGCATCTTAGGGGAGGGGGTGAGGCTGGGGTGACTCACAGCAGACACAACTGAGCTGGTCCTGGAGCAGCCTGTGGGGGAGGAAAGGGTTCCCCACATCCCCTTTGGGGACATAGAATGTCAGGGAGTATGCAGCTGTAAGCCATTTGCCAATGCCGTTTTTTGCCCTCACTACAGGGACAATGGATTGTTAACCCTTATAACTTCAGGTCATTCAAGGTATGAGCCCAGTCCTGCCTCACCTCCTCTGTTGTATGCCTTCATCTACATCCTGCAGATCCTGTCTCTCCTCCCAGCCGATGCTCCTGCCATTCCCTGGGCCTGGAATAAATGCCTTTCCTGTCTGTCTGTCTCTCTCTCGCTCTCTCTCTCTCCTCTGCTCTCTTTCTCTCTCTGTTGGCTGATCCAGCTCCTTCTTTTCCTGACCTTGGCTGCCAGCATTGCTCATTGGACCCCTGGCTGTGACATCATTGAGTGTTTGTGTCTATGTGTGTGCAGGCAAAGCCATACAAAGTAGTCAGGGCAGAGGCTCTGTGCTGGTAGCTGGGGGAGTTTCCCCACCTGCAGAATAAAATGAGGAGGCTTTGCAAGAACCCAGACTGTAGTTCCAGTTGGAGACCTGTCACTGACTTTCGTTGTTAGACACAGTCTCATCCTCCTTTGGACACCCAGGACTGACTTCTGTGCAGGAAGCTGGTGTCAGGCTGACCCTGTGTCCCAAGCTTGCAGAAAGCCACCCTCATGGCCTGGAAACTTCCAGGCCTGGAATAGCCTTGTCCAATGAGTGACAACAGTAAACCCTGATTTTTAGCTCCAGTGAAGGCTACAAAGTACTTTGATGTCCTTCTCCCCTCCAGACCTGCCACAGTCCCGGAAGCTGGTGCCCTTGCCCTGTGGCCAGTGAGATTTGTGAAGTGGAAAAGCTGACCAGCTGGCCCAAAGCACACAGCATGGCAGAGTCCCTCAGTTACAGTTCGGCCAAAGTATATTTTATATCACGTGTCAGTGATTGATTTGACTCACTCATAATGGAGCAGAAGAATGCAAAGCTGGTTGGAAAGGGCATTTGAAAGACAGAGATTTGTGTATTTAGTTGGGAAAGACATGCTGAAATAAGTTTGCTAAGTTAGAGATGAAGCTGGTTACTTACTGTGGGCAATAAAACCATCATGTTTGTGGTTCTGTCCTGGAAGAAAGTCTTTGGCATCTTTACATACCTGCACATCCCTACTTGGGCACATGCACCCACAGGGTAGCATAGGACTTCATGAAATCTGGGCCCTAATCAGTAAGCTGTAAGAACAAAGGTAGTGTCCCTTAGTAATTAAATAACTTTGATGTTCAACCCTGTCCCAGGGATGCTGCAAAGACCTGCAGTCCTTTTGCCTTTCTCCCAATGTTGTGGATTCTTCTCCTCTCCTCCCCTGCCCTCCCCTCCCCTCTCATCTCCTCTCTTCTCCCTCCCTCCCTCCCTTCTCTCCCTGTCCCTCCAACCCAGGGCTTTCACACTGACCTCTGTCAGGGTCTTGCTATGTCATTAAATTGTCCAGGCTGGGCTTGAACTTGCAGTCTTCCTGCCTCAGCCTCCCAGAGCACTGGTGTTACAGGCATGTGCCAGCACAGCCATTTGGATAGTTTTTCTCAACAGCACGGAGGACTTCCTCCTTGCTCTTGCCTCCTGACCAGTGCTGAACACGTGAGAAGTGTGATCCTGAGACCCATCAGCTTGGGCTCCCCCACCCCCAGGACTGCTGGGCTGCACTGGCAGCTGTAGCCAGGCCTATTGGACCCCTGCATTTGGTGGCTCCTCTGTCCCAGCAGCAATTCTGAGATGTCTTTTGTGCAGAATTCTAACAGCACAGTATTTGCATGGAGTAAACTGGTTCCCACAGTTGACTTGAGTTTTTAAGAATTTTAAGTGGTAGCCAGCTCAGCAGCAGCCCTGCTCCTCCTCTTGAAGGACAAAAAAACACAAAAAAACACAAACTCAAAGGTCACATGACTGGAAGGGGCTGGGCCCAGCTTTGAACCCAGGGCCACACGCTTGTTTCCCGTGCTGCACCTGCTTGGGTGACATTCTGAGATGGACAGGCCATTTCAAACAGTCTCCTCAGCATCTGCTCCCTGTCACCCTATGCTCTGTGTGCATTTCTTTTGGGGGGTTCAGCTGCTTCCCTGGACCAAACCCTTTTCCTCCCTCTCCTGGGTTCTCTTGCCTTGGGATCTAGCTGGAGACCAATGGCCCACCTCACCAGGATGTCCGTGCCTGGGGACGAGCCGAGCATTTTCACAGCTCCTGCCTCCTCTCAGGAACTGTGGGTGGAGCTTTTATGACCCTGCTCACCTTCTGCTCTGGCTCCAGCGTCCTCAGGGTTAAAGGCTCTGTGATTCCACCCATGGGCCCCCACTCTCGGCTAGGATGGTCACCGTGCCTGGTTTGTAGGGAGGAAGATGGCAGCTGATGTGACCCTGCTGAAGTCACATAGCCCATTAAGCAGAACAGCAGGAGTGGGGACCTCAGCCTCTCATACCCTGGCCCCTCAGCCACTGCATGGCATCCGAGGGGACAAAGCAAGTACAGGAGGGCACATTACAGAGATGCTGAGGCGTCACTGACCCCAAAGGGCCAGGTTTGAAACCTCTCTGTCAGAGGCCAGAGGCTGACTTTAAGACAACACACACACACACACACACACACACACACACACACACGCACACACACACGGCTCACAGTAGCAGGCAACATTTCCCTGAACTTGGTGGCCACCCTGCAGACATACTTGCTGGAGCTCTGTGCAGACTTCCACAAGCTTTCTCCCAGGCCTTGACTCTGGGTGTCTGGCACCCACGGCCCCCTGGCCCTCCATGTGTTTATGTAGCCCGAGGGACCGAGGCAGGAGAGGGCAGGCCTTCCCGTTGTCCCAGCTGGCTGCTGCCTTGCTTGGGGCTCCATCCTGTTGGTGTAACAACTAGACATGTCACTCCTCCCCACAGAGCCCTTGGGTGGCTCTTCACCCATGAAAGTAAAACCCAGAGGCCGTTCAGGATCTCCTCACCTCATTTTCTCCCCAACTTCATTCTTCCCACCCTCTGCACCTCCGCTGCCATTCTTCAGACACACCAGGCCCACTCCCAGCACTGGGTACTAGATCTGTGTCCCTGTGCCTGTCTTCGCCTCCCTCCCTTCCACTCCTGCAGGTCTTTGCTCAGGTGTCATTGTCATTCTGAGGCCATTCCTGACCTTAAAGTCTGCCTCCCCTTTCTCTGCCTTCCCTACTTCCTGTTCCTGTTTATTTTCCTCCAAAACATTTAGCTCATTTTTCATGCTGTATTTACCTTTACTCACTGTCTCTTTCCTCCTATTAAAAAAAATTTTGGGGGGGGTACTGGGGATTGAACTCGGATCTTCGCGCTTGCGCAGCAGGTGGCAAAACCCCTGAGCTAAATCCCTGGGCCTCTTATTAAAATTTGAACTTCATGAGGGCAGTTTTTTGGAGGAGGGGACTTGTTTTGCTTTTTGGTATTGAGGAATCAAACCCAGGGCCTCAAGCAGGCTGAATAAGCCCTCTACCACTGAACTACAGCCCCAGCACAAGCAGAGATTTTCTGTATCACCAGAGCCTAGAACAGTGACTAGAACATAGCAGGGGATTCATAAATATTTGCTGAATGAATGAATGGTGCTCACTGGATGTCTGTTGAAACAATGAATGAACGATTGAATCAGTCACTCAGGGGCAACCCACAGAGAGGTAGAGGGCAAGCTCGGGTCTCAGAGGGGTGGGCACCATTTCTGCAGGGCCCTGGGCATGGGCAGGTAGCCGGGCCAGGAAGACTGTCAAGCCCACAGCACGGCAGGGGAGAGCAGGTCCGAGAGCAGCAGCGCTCCTGGGTCACGTATCCTCCTTCCGGGGAGGGGATGAGCCTGGGGCTGGCAGTGCTAATCGGCCCGTGAAGAATGACTGCTCTTGGCAGTGGAGTACACACAGAGCCCGTCTGTTTATCTTCCTTTGGCCCCAAGCAGCTGAGGCTCTTTTTCATCCTAATTGCTTTGCTTCAAGTTGCTGTCACTTCTCTGGAACAGCAGAAAATTAACTGTGCTAGTGGAAGCCACAGCTGTCCAGAGATGGGCCACCTCTGAGCGTGCGAATCCCGGACACGGGAGGGACATGGGAGGGATATGGGACCCCATGGAAGGGCTCTCAACCCAGCAGGTCCTCTGCAGCCCTCAGGCTTCAGCCCCAGCTAGAATGGAAAGCAGGAAAAGAGGGGACCCTTCTCTAGTGTCTCAGCATCTTTGAACAGTAAAGGGGAGCTTTTGTGGGGTCTCGGGATCTCAGGGCAGGGTATATGCATCTCATCCATCCACTTTTTCACAGGGGAGGAAAGACGCACAGCAGCACAAGGGCCAATCTGAGCTAAATCCCCCATCACCAGAATCCTCTTCCCGTCATGCCATGCTGGTGGCCTGTGTCTCCTGCCAAGACATCCAGAAGGGAAAACGCCTCAGTGAGCCATCAGGTCTGTCCTCCCTCACCCCACAGCCCCACCCTTCTTTTTTCCTGTAAAGATCACCCCTCTCAGCTGGGCAAGGTGGCACAGGCCTGTAATCCCAGCACTCGGAGGCTGAGGCAGGAAGATCGAAAGTTTAAGTCCAACCTGGGCAACTTAACAACTTAGCAAGACCCTGTCTCAAAATAAAAAATAAAGGGGAGTGGGCCAGGGAGTGAGCTCAATGCAAAGGCACTGGGTTCAACACCGCTACCTAAATAAATATTATCCCACCGTGTCCCATTCTTTCTGCACTGTTTGATCCAGCAAAGAGAGATAAAGGAGTTGGTGGTATTTGGACATCTGGGCCCTTGGAATTCTTTCTCTGTCTGTCTGTCTCTCTCTCTCTCCTACACATGTGCGCACACACACACACACACACACTTTTGCCCACTCATAGGCCCACTCGTGGGCCCAGCAGCTTCTCTTTTCAGGTAACTGGTTTCCTTCTCCCTGGGACTTGCAAAGATGTGCTAACCTCAAAGTGCTCATTAGCAGAGGGAAGTCCAGGTGCTCAGAGAGCAGCGGCTTTGCCTGGCCACGTGCCAGCTGGCTACAAGCCAACTGGCTACCCAAGGGCTGATACCCAGGGGAAAGGAGAACTTCGAGCCCTTGTGGGCACCTCTGACAAGGAAGGCGCTACCGAAGGCTGTACTCCGCACCCAATGGGGCAAAGCCAGTGGACCCACTAAGCCTGGGCTTTGGCACTGGGTTCCTGGCCCAGCTTCAGGCCTGGTCAGCTGTGTGATCCTGGCAAAGCTGGCTCCTGTGTACAGTGGATACGAGGATGCTCAGACCTTAGCAGAGGCCTCCTGCGCATGACCGCCCCCAGCTTGCATGTTTGAGACTGAGTGTGGGGCCTTGAATCTGGCCTTTACTCTGCAAGAAATGGGGAGCTACAGAATGTTTTTGAAGCTGTGAGTGCCCGAAAGAGGTGCTGGGTGCCCCCAGACTCTTCCCTGTTGGCAGATATCACTGGGATCCCAGCAGGGGCACCGCAGAAGGTGGGAGGTGGACAAAGGGTGAGGTCAGGGGACTTGTTTCTTGGCTCCTTCCTTTTCTCTTCCACTGTCTCAAGTCACAGCTCCCACTAGGTGGCCTTGTCATACAGTCCTGTCCATCTCCTGTGGCTGTCCCTCCCCTTCCCCTCCAGGCCCCACTGTCCTCAGCTTGCCCATCCCTGGAGTGGCCTTCCCCTGTGTAAACAGCCCCTCCCCTCAACTCTCCTCTAAGGACCGACTTGAATGATTGTGCTGTCATCCTCTCCTGACAGGAGCCTGCTGGCTGTGTGCCCTGTTCCCTCTGGCCCTCAGTTCTCTGGGCCTCTGTCCCTCCGTGGCTAGGCTTGGTCACTGTAAGGGATGCTGGGAAATGTTCCTCTCAGTGCTTGCCCCTATGTTACAGTGATGGGAACCTGAGGACTGTCTTCCAGGCAAGGCCTGGAACCACCTTGGTATCCAGAAGCTGGGGCCTTGCCTCCCAAAGGTCCTGAATCTGAGGGGAAAACATTGACCTTAAGGAGCTCTCTGAGGAGTGGCTGGGATGGAATCAGAACCAGACACATAAGTTTCTGGGCACCCAGCTCTGTCACCTCTAAGTGGGCCTGGTTCCCCATCGTCCCCATGAGACCTCACCACTGCCAAGTTTAACCAAGGGGCCCACAGGACTCTGCCACCAACTTGCTATGTAACAGTGGACTGGTGGCCTCTCCTCTCTGAGTCCCACATTGGGTCTATTACTGAAGAGGACAGCCTGGGTCCGGTGCACACATTATGTGTGGGGTCAGGTGAGAGAGCTCGCAGTGGGGGCCCAGTGTCAGGGGAACCAGTATGGCGTTGCAGATATTCCAACTGCCAGCTCAGATGTTCTGGGTTTAATCCAGCTCCAGCACTTTCAGACTGTGTGACCCTGGACAGTTGCTTAACCTCTCTGACCTCAGGTGGGCATCCATCAGTGGGCACAACAGCAGCTCAACTCCAAGGGCTCTTGGGATGGTGAGCGTGACCATGCACAGAAAGAGCTTGGAACATTCAGGCCCCAGCCGAAGGTCGGTAATCCAGAAAGCTCTGTCCTTGCAGGAGAGCCATGGATGGGCCTGGCATGGTAGTCAGCCTGACCATGAGGCATGGGTAGGAGCCTCAAGGAGGAAATGTCTGGCTCAACCCCTGATCCGCCAAGACTTAGGGGCGCAGGACAGTGCTCCCCCTGGTGGAGGTGAGAGGGAAGCGCATTCAGGGCGGAGGTGCAGCCTCTAGGGCCCTCCTAGGTGCCTGAAGAGCCAGATTCGGAGGAAGTCCCATCCCTGTGGGCTGTCACTGAGGGACCTGAGGCCCTGAGGAGCACAGTTTCTCTTAGCTTCAGCCTCCTACTTTGAGCCCCCAAAACAGCTTAAGACAGCCACAAGCCATCTCCTTGGCCACCTGCCCCACAAGGCAGGGTTGGGATGACAAAACACAGTTCCTCTTCACAGGGACAGGACTGGTAGCTTCCCTTAACAGCAGCACCGCCGCTCTCAGAGCTCAGCCTACTTCTGACCACAGAGTGGTCCCTGCTTCTCACTGCTCGGGGACAGGGATCTCTGCTCAGCCCTGCTGCCATGGAAAACGTACCCTGTGCTGACAATGGAGCACACTGCAGTGCTGTCCTTGGGCACGGGAGGCTTCGTGCAGATTCACCCCAGGACCACCCAGCACCCACCAGGGCCTCTTATTCACCCTAGTCCTGGCCACCTGGTCCCTCTGGGCTCTGAGGACTGGCTGCTAAGGGGCATGGGTGGTCACACTCTGGTGGGTCTTTCACTGGGAAGGCAGCGAAATCTCTTTGGATGCTGGTTCTCTCTAAGTACGGGCCTCTGCTCCCAGGGGCACTTTCCCGGGTTCCCCTGCCTCCTTTCCCTGTTCTCTGTTCATTCAGCAAACACGTCAACGTAGCCCCTCTAACCACAAGCTGTGTCAGGGTTTGGGCAGAGGACTTTAGGATGGGGTCAGCCCCTCAGCACTACAGGCCCATGAGGAGGGTTCCCGGACGGTGATGGCGTCCTCGCTGAGCACCAAGACCTCCAGTCCTGCTGTGGCCGACAGCCTCTGCTGATTCCCTCTCGCAGACCATTAGTTTCAAGGCAAGACAGAGACTCACTTTCTGCCCAGTTCCCTCACTGCATCCAGCAGGTAGCAAGCAGAACCAGCCCTGGCTAAGTAAAGGACAGGATCTGCCTCAAGGACTCGGGTGGCTCAGGCTCACTGAGGACAGAGCACTGCCGGGCTGGGCGGAAGCCATAGCGCCAGGAGCTGCTTTCAGCTCCTCTGAGGCCAAGGCCAGGAAAAGTGCCGGATTCCAAGGTTACCGGCAGGGTCAGACTGGCCCGGTGCAGTGACATGTGCCCCTCCCCCTGCCAGGGAGGACAGGCACTCTGACAGCATGTGAAGATGGCCCATAGCAGGGAGAGGAGCATTTCCCCATACACAGCTGCCACTGAAGAATAGGGAGCCACAGCTGGTGCAGGGCAGCTGAAGTCCTTGGGATCACTTGGTGGCTGGGCATTTATAATCTGTGTTGAGCCCATGCCCCAAGGCTGGCCTGTCCAGGGTCCCTGGCTTCCATCTTTCTGCCCTCATCTGACACCCAGTTAATGTCTCTGCTCAATCTGGAAACATTTTCTTAACGACAAAAAAAATAAATAAAATCATAGGTTAAAAGTCCGGAGCAGTTAAACAGCTGGTGACGTTGTGCGGGCAGTTGCCCAGCGGACACAGAACCTCGTCTCCTGAGTGGGTGGCCTTATAAGGACAGGTTGAGGAGGAGAATGGCAGGGGGGAGGGCCACCAGCAGGGGCTGGGTGGGGTGGGTGCCCCACTTCGGGGCTGGGTATGGAGCTGGCGGGGGCGCCTGGCCAGGCCTATCCCGCAGAGCGAGCTGGCAGCACTCACCCTCCACGACCCTTTGAAACAGGGCCAGCTCTGCCTGTCCTTCTATCTTCCTGCTGTCTTCCCCAGCCCCAGCTCTGAACTGCTCAGCCCAGCCCGGGGAACCCCACTCCAGGGCAGAGGTCACTTCCCATTGTCAATCCTCCCACTCCTGGGCCAGCTGGTGTTAACAAGGGATGGGGTGGCTGAGTAGGGACAGCTGAGTGATGAGTTCTGGGCCTGCTCAGGGTCACCCTTGTCCCCAGCATGAAGGCACAGACCCACACCTGCTGAAGGTGGCTCCACGGAGGCAGGGAGAGTTTCTGGGAGGGCCCTAGGTTGTCTGGACCTCTGGAGGAGGACAAGCCTGGCCCGAGGATCTGGGGGTTAGCAGGTGTGTGCAGGAGGTGCTGACCTGAGGTGGGCCTCTGAAGCCTCCCCAACTCCATGAGGAAAGACACCCCAAGTCTTCCTTGACTTGAGGCTCATCTTACGCAGGGATAGGAGGGCTGGCCCAGTGTGAGAAGCCAAGGGGCCACCCCTTCCCTTGACACCTCTCATTGAGCTGGAAACCCCATGGCTTCTGAGCCACTGTCTGAGGTAAGCATGGTCTTCTACCCAGTGCTCTCTTGTAAGGTCAAGAGCACTCCCTACAGAAGTTGGCAGGGAACCCTCCCGGACTGGACCGGAGGCCTGGGCACCAAAGGTCAGATGGTCAGGCAAGTGTACCAGAAGGGGCTGAGCGGGGAGGAGACCATGACGAGGTTGCTGTCTCCTGACTTCTCCGCTGATCCTCAGGGCAAATGAGGCCAGGGTGGGCCTTCCTCCCGCCCTGACCTGGCAGCGCCTCCAGAATGGCACCAGCTGTGGAAGGCTGACTCACAGCGAAGCAGGGTGGCAAGGCTCATCTTGGAGGTAAGAGGAGGCTGCAGTGAGGGTCAGCCCTAGGCCCCGCCTGAGCTTTGGGAGCTGCTGCCTCATTCACACACAGCTGGTAGAGACAGGAAGTTGGGGTCACATGGGAGGCCTGCTCTACTGTCATTGCAGACTGGAAATGTCCCTTGTGAAATACCAATACAAATCACAACAAAACTCCCTCTGGGACTACCAGAAATACCAGAGGAGTTTTGTATTATCTGAGGTGAGGCATGGACCCTCTGTCATAAGCCAAATCATGGTTCCCAAAGGCCCAATTCCCAGAACCTGGCCAAAAGGGCTTTGCAGGTATGATTAAGTTAAGGCTCTTGGGATGGCGGATTATCCCAGATTACCAAGGGGGCCCGATGTCACCAATGGGATCCTTCAGAGAAGGGTCAGAGGGCCAGGTAGACAGAGGACACCATGCATGTGCCTCAGGGAGGAGCCACACAAGGAACCTGGGGCCTCAGCTGGAAGTGGTTCTGAGAGAGACAGCCGTCCTGTCACAGTCAGGACTCATGCTGGTATGGGGCCTCTGAGGAAGCACTGTGGTGGCACAGAAGAGACAAAGCATAAGAGGGTGAAGGGAGAGCAGGGATCAGGGATCAGGAGCTGTGCCTCTTGCTGCACTGGGCCAGGCCTCTCCTGCTGTCCTGGCCTCCCCTCCAGGGGTTATCAGGTCTCTCGCCTGCTGCCGTCAGGTATCTGGAGTGTCACTTGCAGCTGCTTCCTGCAGCCACCTGATCCCTGTATTAGCTGTGGAGACAGCTGCTCCACCAGATGCCACTTCCAGAGTCCTGTGCCCGAGCCAGACCAGAGAAGCCGAGTCACAGGGTGAGCTTCTCCCAGGTGTTCTGAGTTTGATTACAAAGGCAGGGATACTGGTCAGCTTTCCCTTGCTGTGAAAAACTTCCCAAGAAAATCAACTTAGGAGGAGAATAGGATTATTCTGACTCACAATTCCAGAGTCCATGGTTGCTCGGCTGGGTTGTCTGGGTCTTGGGGTGCGGCAAGACATCATGGAGCGTGGCAGAGCAAAGCTGCTCACCTCACAGCACCCAGGAAGCAGAGAGAGAGAGAAAGGGGAAGGAAGCAGGATACCAACAGCCCCTTCAAGGGCCTGCACCACTTCCTTCCCCCAGGCCCCATCTCTTAAAGGTCCCACACCTCCCAGGATCGCTGTCACCAGGGACCAAGCCTTCAACACAGAAGCCTTTGGGGGATACTGAGGATCCCAACCACACTGGCTAGAAATCTGTTAGCTGTATCGAAGATGCAGATGGTGATCACAGTGACTACAGAGTGAGGAAGGTTATAAATGCGTCTAAATAAGTAGCTTAGACACAGTGCCACAAGGCTCCTGTGTGCTGTCCCCCTAAGCACAATCGAAAAGTCTCAGCATCTGTATTTTACGAATAAGTAACTAAGGCACAAAGAAGGTGGGGAACTTTCAAAAGGTCACACAGCTAGTTAGTGACAGGCTATAGTTTCAGCCCAGCTCTGACTTCAGGTTCCATGCTTCCAAACTACACTATTCTGCCTCCTAAAACATATTTTAAACTAACCATCTGTCCAGTGCTGTCTCATTTTTAATCAAGCAATACTTTTTTAGAGATGGAAAGGCTGCTGTAGGTGGCAGGAGAATGGGAGTGGTGGCCTGGTTGTAGGCCTGCCACCTGGGCACCTCTATGGCAACTTAATGAAGGGGACTTAATTAAGGGGACTTAATAAGGCAGTAGACCGAGGCCAGGTAAATTTAATCAGAACCAAAATAACTTGGGCCCTAAAACTCCATCTTAGAAATTGAACTTTAATTTTACTGTCTTTTTCCAAGGGTAGTTTTATTTTTGGCAACAGACGCATGACCAACTTTATGCCATCCTGCTGATTTTCTCAAATAGTTCTGCATTGCCTTAAAGTTATTCAAAGCACATCTGAAGGCCAAAGAATATCTTTCATGTGATTTCATGTTGGCAGGCACTGGGGCTTAGTGGAAAACATTGAGAGGGCGTGGATGGGGCTCAGGAGACCGGGGCCAGGCCCAGAAGTCTCCGTGACACATTCAGACAAGGTGTCTGGGCCCTGAGAAATGTGGGAGTTTCTGTTTGTGACTTCATGGGCCCCAGGTAGAAGTGCCCCCCACCCCCCACCCCACCCCCGTTTGCAGGTAGAGTGGTTGAGAGGTCTGGACTCTGTGGAAGCTGTCGAAGGCCTTCCCATGGGCACTGGGAAATCAGGGGCACCCATGTGTTGGCATCTGACTTCTGTTGGGTCAAGTCATGGGCCACTCCAGCAACTGGCCCTTCCCATCCTTAGGGCCCTCCAAAGAAGAGGTGTTAAGCAGCTGGAGACTACTCTGATCCCAACCTCCCAGCTTCCCAAAAGATGAAAGAGGACAGAGGACCCCAGATTGTCAGAGCAGAAGGGGGCCTAAACTGGCTGGTCCAGAAAGCCAGACACATTGGCCCTGGGTCCATTACATTGTGAAGAATCCTCAGAGAGCTTCTTACATAAAACAAAACAAAACTGAGACTGTGCTTGCAGTCCCAGGTACTCAGTAGGCTAAGGTAGGATGACTGCTTGAATCCATGAGTCCCATACCAATGAGACTATGTCTCAAACAAACAACAAAACAAAAACCCCAGAGGCTGCCAAGCTGTCCTTTCTGAGAGTATGTCATGGGCAGTGGCCAGGTCTGGAAAATTTTGACCTGATCAAATTTTTCTACTTTTCCTTGGGAAACAGAGCCCCAAAGAAGCCTGGAGCCTGACATCCACAGAACCTAAATCAGAACGTAAGGCTTCTGATTCTCAGTTAAGATGTTTTTTCTACCCAAGACCAGGAGCCTATGGGACTCGGAAGGACTGCCTATCTTTTTTTTTTTAATTTTCTCAAAAGCAAAGCTATTAATACAGAGAAAGCTGAACACAGGCAGTGTGCCAGGCTTGTACAAAAAGCTCAGTCCCGCCTCCCTCTCCTGGAGCGCTGCTGGCTGGGTGTGGTGTTTCTCCCAACCTTGGGATTGTTTGTGCTTTTTACTTGCGTAGCTTTGTTTGTCCAGTTTGGTTTCCATGACACAGGACAGCTGCCAGCAGTGGAGGGCTGCAGTGGTCACTGGGCACAGGCCACCAGCTCCTCCAAGGCTTCCTCACCACGGTTGCCGTGTACCAGCAGCACTTCCTTGATCCGCTCCTGCTGGAAGCCCATGTCGCTGAACTGTTCCCAGAGGCGAAGGAACTCCCCGGCCTGAGGGCACAGGAAGGTGCTGGGACCCTGGGCAGCCCAGTCCTGGTGCCCACAGCACTTCACCCCAGGAAGCTGCCTCTCCACCGTCCAGGCCAGCCTGATCCTGGGAGGCCCTTGCTATGTTTTTGCACCTCTGAGGTGATGTGGCCTCTGACCTCTCTTCCTCTGCTCAGGAAAGAAGGCCCTGGCCTGGCCTCACCTCCACCTCCTGCTATTCTCGACCCCCTGTGCTTGGGTGTGAATATGGGACAAGGAGCCTGGGGACCCTGCCCACGCCCAGCGGCTAGCTTCCCTCCTCAGACCCCAGCCCTCCAACTGCCCTTTCTCTACTGCCCCTCTCCTTGTTTCCCTGTTTCTGATCACCTTTCATGTCCATCACCCCGCAGGCTGCTCAGGGATGGGTGTACCCTCATCCCGAAGGACCCAGGAAGGAGGCCCCGCTGACCTTGCTCTCAGAGTACTGGAACAGTTCCATGGCCTCATCCACCAGGCCCTCCTCATAGCCCTGCTGCAGCAGCCTCTCCCGAGCGCTCAGGTAGCCGAGAAACTGGACAGAAGTGGGCAGAGAGGGTGGGATGGTAAGAAGACAAGCAGTAGATGGTGTGCAGTTTGAGCTCAAGACCAAGGGAGCTGGGAAACCCCCCTGCATGCAACAGGGCCCAGAGATCCCAGGAGCCAAAACAGAAGCAGAGGCCCCCCTTTAAAGACCTCAGGACAACTGGACTGTGGTCCCCACCACTGTCCCAAGGTGGGGGCTGGAGTCCAGGAAAGGGCCTTTCAGAGAGTGGGGACATACACACTCCCCGATCCCGGTAAGCACCCACTGTGAGGGGCCCCTCCCCACCCTGACATCTCCATCCCCAGGACTCCCTGAGCCTCTATAGCTGGGGGAGAGGCAGTGGGCAGGGGCCCACAGGGGCCATATCCTCTGTGTCAATCCCTGTTCAAATCACTGGGGCTCCTTTACCCTCTGGAGAGGGTGAGTAGAGATGGTGGACGCTGAAGGGCCTGTTCCACCCTGTCCCAGCCACGGGCTGCCTCAGCACAGGCCAGCGCTGGCCCCTCTGGGAAGCCTCTGCCACCTGGGTCTCCACTGGCTGTGTCCCTGAGCTCCTTTTGTGGCACACAGAGCCCTGTGATTGCTCCACTTCCTCTTTGTCCTCTCTCACTTCCTGCCCCACGTGAGAGGGGCTGGTTGGTCTTGCCTGTCACTGTGTCCCCAGCCCCAGCATGGCAGTTGGAAGGAGCTCTTAAATAAACAGATGCTGCATTTATGAAATGAATTAAGAATGACCTTGAAGGAACTTACAGCTTAGCATGGGAGATAAACCAGATGCAGGACGTCAGTGCCAGGCAAATCAAAGCAGGATTTATAGGTGGTCGGTGCCAGATGAAGGCTCCTGACCTGGAGGATTAGGGGTATTCGCAGAGAAGGAGCAGGGCGGGTTTCTGCACACCTTCAGGGCAGGCAGAGATTGGGATGGTCTGGTTGAATGGTTTTCAAACTGATGCAGCTCCTCACTGCCCTGGCTGCAATCAGCTGCCTGGGAGATGTGGGACTGCATAACCTTTGTTCCTTTTCTCCAGCCTCATTGTAATTAAATGTGAGTTAACGCATAAAGATGCTTGTTAGTTTTGGGACACTAGATAAAAATCTGTAACAGACCTAAAGTCCCAAAGTAAACTACTCAACTCCTTGTTTGCCCGGAACTGATGTTCTGGGCACCACAATTTTTAGAACAAGCTGCAAATGTCTGCTGACCATCAATACGTGACAGTCGACCACTAACCTTTGTTCCCTTTTCTTTAATTCTATATGTTAACTTCCCCCTCAAGCCCCTATAAAAACAGCCTCGGACTCTGAGACAGCTGCCTCTCTAAGCTATTTTGCTTTGGGAGTGCCGTCTGGCCAGACTAATAAAGGTCTGTTTTATTTTCCAACTTGTCCGGTGTGTTCCTTCCCAGGTGTTCTTCGCTGTAGTCAGCTCGGAGTGTTTGGTAAGGCTCTTGGTCTTACATTCTGAAGGCACCGCTGGGATTCCTGGGTGTGCTTCACTAGTCAGCTCCTTGGAGCGTTTGGTAAGGCTCTTGGTCTTACATTCTGAAGGCACCGCTGGGATTCCTGGGTGTGCTTCACTAGTCAGCTCCTTGGAGTGTTTGGTAAGGCCCTCAGTCTTACAGAGATGAAGGCCGATGCACTGGCCAGAGGGACAGGATCTTGCTCTGAGCCACAGGCCCAAACCTCCCTCCCAGGTGAGGAAACTGAGGTCCAGGCTGGGCAGGTGGTTCCAGGACAAGGGTCCAGATCACCTCTCACTCAGCGCCTTGTCCGGCAGGGGGACAGAGAGGACAGGGGAGGAAGGTGGATGCTCTCCTTCAGCTTTTGGCTCATCCATGGCAATGGCTCTCAACCTTGGGTCCCATAGAAACCACCCTGGACACTTGGAAAACTACTGACTTCACTTCCTGGACCTCACTCCAGAGGCTCTGCTATCTCTGGTCTAGGGTGTGGCCAGGAAACAGGGCTGTGTTAATAGCTCTCCGGGTGATTCTCATGTGTGGCTCCAGGGACAGCTGGCCCCAAGCCATGCTGCATATCAGGGCGACCTTCAGGACAGGCCTGGGGATCTGTACCTGTAAAGATTCTGCTGCTTGGTCCGCTTTGGGGACCTATGGGATTATAGAAGCTACCAGGCTTGCCTCAGGCCCCTGGGTAGGTGAGAATGTCCTAGGGTCTCCAGAAGTCTTTAGTGTCATACACATGTTCCTCCTCTATCCTGTGAATGGAGAAACCCCCAAAGAAGGTGCCTGCTGTGTCTGGGTTCCTTTAGTGAGTCTGGACCTTGCCCTGGGCCCCTGCCTATGCCAGGAGAGAGGCAGAGCAAATCTGTGGAAAGAAGGATGGTGCAATGCACAAAGCTTTGCTTTTGTATCTCCTCTTCCCCCGACTCCTCTAAGCATGCTGTCTCCATCACCGATGTCCTCCCTTGGGTCATCTGATATTTTTTATTTGTTTGCTTTGTTTCTGTACTGAGAATTGGACCTAGGGTCTTCATATTGAGTTACATCTCCACCCCATTTTTATTTTGAGACAGGGTCTCATTAAGTCACTAAGCTGCCCAGGCTGGGCTCAGACTTATGATTCTCCCCCAGTGCTAGGATTACAGGCATGCACTACCATACCTGGCTCATCTGTCATTTATCTAGGCCTAAAAGGATTTACTGCAGTGTGTGTCTTTCTAGAGGAGAAAGAATCTGAACCCAAAGGGGTGGCTTACATGATGGCAGAACTTCACAGAACAGGGAGGGTAGATGAAGCCATCCAAAGGCCCCTTGGGATACCCCATGACTGTCCACTGGGGAAGAAGGCCACCCAGCAATGCCACACAGGTGGCAAATCTCAATCTGGGAACACAGTATTCCCAATCCAGTGAGATTCTTTTTTATTTTTTCAAAATTGAATTTATTTTGTGTTAAAAATAACAGTATCACCAAAAGATAAATACCATAATTTAGAGTATTCATAATTTAGCGTATTACCAAGACACAAGAACCATAAAAAATGATATCCAAAATTTTGATAATAGCAGCTACCAGATGTTTAATAGATTCCTTCAGTAATAATGATCAGCAAAGCGAAAAGATTTGGCTTCTGACGTATTATACAGGTAGCTCTGTAAGTGTTTCGAACGCCTTGCTTTAGTTGTAGCTGTCTAGCTCTCTCTTCAACAGTCTGTTGCTCTGCTATTTTCTCTATTCGTTTCCTTCTTAGCCATTGTTTAAAAGCCTTTTCCCGGCCTTCTGTTCCTTGGAGGAAGAATAACCATTCCTCTTGCTTTCTTAGTTCTTCTGACTTTCTTTCTTTCATCGGCTCCTCATGCTTTTTCTTAAGCCACAATCAGAAAGCTTCTTGTGGATCTCTGTCTTCTTGTCTGCTGTTCATGTCCTCAATTTGCTTAGCAAGCTGGATTCTCCATATTTCTAGAAACTTCTCTCTCTTTTTTTGCAACCATGCTTTGAAGACCATGTCGTTCTCTTTTTTCTTTTATTTCTCTTCTTCTATTTTCTCTTCTTCTTCTTCTCTCTTAAGCTTCTCTCTCTTCCTTTCTAGCTGTTTCCGGAGTTCCTTCTGTTGAAGGGAAAGATAGTATGTTGAGGTCACTGGAAATATATTGGCAGACTGTGTCCGATGATCAGATTTCCCATTTCCTTTATTTCGATCTGAGGTGGCAGCAGAGCGTGGATGAGTCTTGGGGTTGGGTGGTGGCTGAGGGACAGAAGCCAGGGGCTCTCCTGGTGATGACTGAGTAATCTGAATCTTTGCCGGGGGCTCTTCTTTCTTGACACCACTGATAGACGAGCTGGGAGATCTGAGTAACAACTGCTGGGGTTCACTTTCGGTACTATTAGCATTAATAAGGGGGGGCAAAAACCCCTGGCTCTCAATATCTTGTAAATTCAGAAGTTCAAACTTTCCATCTTTCTCTACCAGTATCTTCATATCCTTGTTTTTTTCGAAGCTTCCTTCAGTAAGTGACAGGAGTACATTCTCTTGCCCTAACTCATTGGAAATACATAACTGTGACAGTTTTCCAGACATATTATTTTCATTTTCAAAATAAGTTTTGTAAGTATCACTGTCTTTTAGTGGAGAAACTTCCAGATCAACTAATTTGTCCTTGAACTTAAGTTTTCATTCCCTTTTATCATCCATGGGTTCTTGGGTCTGTAGAAGTTTGTTAGCTTGTATAATTTTCTCCTTAATATATCTGCTTACTTCCTCATCCTCTTCCTCCTCCAGGTCTTTCTGACTTTCTAGTTTGGAGTCCTGAAAAGAGTTTTCCCTGTCTGAATCTGATATGCGATCCAAAGACTGAATACTTGGGACAGAAATAAAGTCCTTTCTTCTTGGTGAAACCTCATCCTTCAAAGATTTATCAAGATCAGAAAGTTGTTTCATGTGTTCTATTTCTGTTTCATTTTCTTTTAATTCCTGATTAATATTCTCTTCCTTCTCATAAGCCATCTCTATTATGCTGGGATCAATTTCTTTTTCATTAATTAACCACTCAAGGTCCTTTTCAAAGTCATCTTCATATTCTCCACTTTCTTTTGAATCAGTCTCTTTATTTTCCACTCATTTTCAGTTTGTTAAAGAATAATTCCCTTGCCTAGCTGCAAGGCAGCCTAAATCACTTTGGCAGTATGCCTGCCAACCTTTCACGTTCAAGAACTTTGAGAGGGGAAAGAATATGATAAAATTTCGGACCGTCTATGCTGCCCTCAGAGGGGTTTCCCAGATACATAGTGAAGCCCAGCGGGCAAAGGAGAAAACTGGGCTCTGTGGATCCTGGATCTGATCCTCACACCAGACACTCCTCCCTCGACCCTCTCCCCACACAAACATTTCCGAAACATCCTTCCCTTCTCTCCCTCTAGGGGCCCTCCTGCTGGGGTCACAGAGATGGCCGGGGGAGCTCTTCTCCCCTTGTCTTTCTAAGCTCTGACCCGGAGGCAAAGGAAACCCCGGCCTCCAGTGAGATTCTTGCTGCCACCGTCTAGGAGGACAGTGCCTGCCCTGGCTGCACTTATCTTCAGACCCCGCCATGATAGGCAGCAACTGGAGCCTTGTCACCCGGCCCAAAGGGACTGAGGAGGCTTGTCAGAGCTCCCTGGGGGACCTGGCCCCTCACAGCCCTCTTGACCTGCTTCTTGGCCATGCTCTAGGCTTTGTAGCAGCAGCTGAAGGTAGAGTTAGATCTGCTCTCAAATCTCAGATCAGCCTGGATTGCTGTTCTAGGAGGTTCTCACACAGGAAGTGGGAGAAAAGCACTGTGCAACAAAGATTCTGGGTCACACCAGCCTGGCCTCAGTCCTGGTGTTGCCCCTGACAAGCCAGATGAACCTCCCTGGCCTCAGTTTTGTCTGCAAAGTGCTCAGGGCAGTAATAGCACAGTAACCTTGGAGAATCCAGATGACCTAATTGAATGCTCTCAGACTAGTGTTCGGTTTAGACCCATGGGGTGACCATGTTGGAAGTTTTCCTTCTCAAAAGGACACAGGCTGATGATTCCAGAGTAGTGCAGAAGCAAGAGTGGGTGGGTAGGCAGGCAAGGGGCCCAGGAATATTTCCGTCCTCCCAGCCTGGCAGCAGTACACCCTGCTTCTGGCTCCAGGATGAGAGTCACCCCCCTGCCACTCCTTCCCCCCAAAGCAGGCCTCAGCCTCAGACCTTGGGGACTTGTATTCTGCAGTCAGTGATACAGAGAAGGTGCCCAAGCCCTCTGATAGGGGCGGGGTGGGGGGCAGAGACAGGAGAAAAACAAATGAGTGCCAACTGCCCCGGGACCAGCTTTCCAACCAGAGCTCCCAATCTTAGAGAACACTTGCAGGGGGATGTCACACTGGGCTGGGGGTGTGGGCAATGGCATTCAGGTCACTCCCTGTCCCCTCCTTCCCTTGTAGCTATCGGGTCATTTATCAAATTCTCAGCCCAGCCTTCAAGGTACCCTCAGTCTGTCCCTGATTCCCCTTCCGTTTTTATTTCCCAGCAGCCCTCTCCTCCAAAAGACTGGTTAGATCAGGGCCTTCCAAACTCTTCCTTCCTGTCCTCACCTCTTCCTTCACTTGTCCCTCCTGCCTGGAATAGCATCCTTTTTCCTTACATCAAACTCAGTCTAATCTGGCTTCAAAGTCCAGCTCAAAGCTTGGCAGCTTAATGAAGCCTCTGCTGAACACTGGAACCTCCTTGTGGTACCTAGAGCATGGCCATAAATTCTTTGCAGCCTCTCTCATCCAGAGGCAGTCTGTTTTTCCACCCTTTAAGTCTGGGCTGGCCTAAGACATACTTTGAGAGACTAGCTAAGATCAAAGTGACCCTGTCTTAAAACAGCTGAGGCCGTGGGAGGCCTTGCAGTTTCACGCATCCTCTCTTGGAACCAACTGTTACCAATCTGGAGCCACAATGAGACCAGCAGAACCACCGGGCTGTGTCCGACCCAAACTATCAGCCCAGAGAATCATGAGCAAATCAATGGTTGTTGTATTGAGCTACTCAATTTGGGGGTTTGTTACAGAGACCCATGTCTCTCAAGTCACCCCTTTCCACAGGCAAGGACTGGCTGAAGCAGAGGTATAAAGGCCCGACCACAATGTCAACCCACTTAGGACACTCGGAGGGGCCGGAGGGGCCAGAGGGACCTCACAGAAGCGGTGTTGGCAGGCGCTGTGTACAGCTCAACTTCTCCCTCTGCCACTTTGGCTTCCGTCCCCTCACTTCCGCAGGACTGGTCCCAAGGGCCTCTTTCACAAACATCTTGCCTGCCAAACTCCATCTGAGCCTGCTTCCAGGGAAAACTACCCACTGTGCAGGTGTAGATGTGCCTTGGTTTCCCCTCTAGCTCTTGGCCTCACCTTAACCCTAGGAAGTGGCCAGTAAATACTCAGGACTAGAGGGATGGGTGGGTAAGTGGGAAGAGAGAGACAGGTTCAATGCGGGGGGGGGGGGCTTGGAGCTGTGCTCTCCAATATGGTCGTGAATTGAAATGAATTACAACAAAATAAAATTTAAAATTTAGTTTCTTAGTCACACATTGCAAGTAACCACATATAGCTAGAGGCTACTATATTGGACAATGCAGATTTTTTAAAAATCTCTCTCCGCTGGACATGGTGGCACATCCCTGTAATCCCAGCACCCCAGGAAGCTGAGGCAGGAGGATTGCAAGTTGGAGTCCCAGCCTAGGCAACTTCACAACTTAGTGAGATCCTGTCTTAATATAAAAAAAAATAATAAAAATAAAAAGGGGATGAGGATGTAGCTCAGTGCAAAAGCCCTGGTTTCAATCCTTAGTACTGCAAACAATCAAACAACCCACTAGAATAAGTTCTCTTGGGCCTTTCTGGAGAGAAATTGACTGTCCAAAGCTCCAGCTTCCCATATTTGGGGCAGGAACTGGGACAGGAGTAGAATTTTGAGACTCCACCAGTGGACATGGGAACTGCTGATAAATTCCTGCGGGGGAGGTAGCAGAAGGGTCTGGAAGCTTGCTCACAAACCCCAATAATTAACACCAGCCTGAGGTTGTACCTCTAAAAAGAAGACAGCAGAACTTCATTAACATAAAGGAAAAAAAACCCATGGCCACTCACCGACTCCAGCTTCCAACCCCCACTCACCTGGCTCAGGCTCTGCCTCCCCGTCTTCTGCAGAGCCACGATGGTCCTTCCCAGGGGGTATCCCAGGGCCACCACAGGCCCAATGAGCTCCTGCTCCTCCTGGCTCAGGGCGGATAGCAGGTCAGCTGCAGAATCAGGGTGTGATCTGTAGGAGTTGAGAGGCTGGGGTGTCCCCCTAAGAGGTGGCAGGCAGGTGTACGGGCTGAGGGACTGAAATACAGATAGGCTGGCATGTCAGTTACCACAGGAGACACCGGCTGGGCTGCAGATTTTACAGGGTGGCTTCACGTACCACCTTCTACAGAGTCCTGCAGACCCCAGCTCCCCACAGGTCACTCACTTCACTTGTATGCGAAACAGGCATCTCACAAGCACCCGCAGGGTTGTTAGGAGGCTTAATTGAGACAATGTGAGCAAAGTAGTTGGTAAAGTGGCACTGCAGCAAGGCTGCATTTCATTTACTGCTTGGAACACTCTGCAGATGATTATGATAGGAAGCTTCGAATGATGGCACACATCTGCGCTCCCAGCTACTCAAGAGGCGAGGCAGGAGAATCGCTGGAGCCCCAGAAGTTTGAGACCAACATGGGCAATACAATGAGACCCAATCCCCCCTCTCCTGTAAAAAGAGAAAGGAGGAAAAGACCCCAAGAAATATGATAGAATCATTCTATTATTTCATTTTACAGATACTGAGATCAAGGTTCAGAGAAGTTAATGACCTGATACAGAACACACATTTGGGACCTGGCCCTGACTCAGAGGGCTCCTTACCCTGCATCGCAGTGAGAGGGTATGGGGTGGTTCCTGTGGAGTTCACCTGGGCTGGGCTCTTGCAGGGCACAGGCTAGCAAAGCCCTAAACACAGACCCGTTCCCTCCTCCCAAGGAAAGCCAGGGCAGAGTGTGGATGTGGGCATGTGAATTCCCCACCCGACCCCATCTTCTTAGGGCTCCCTGCCATGCCCCACTCTAGGGTGAAGAACATCTGCATCCATGATCTGCCTAAGGTCACACAACAGTGATGACAAGAGCCAGACCTCAAGTCTGTCTCTGGTTAATTCAGCCAACTCGGCCTTATTCTGCAGCTTCTCTTGGCCCAACTGTGGGACAGAAAGCTGTGCCCAAATGCCACCCTCTGCTGCCTATCCTACCCCATCCGCTACGGATCCAGGCTTTGTAGTCTGCTGCTTAAACAATCTGGAGGGACCTCTTAAAGAAAAAGGACAAACAGCTGTAAACATGACACTGGGGACAAGTCCTTGGAAGGGACAAAGCGAGGGCCCTGAGTGTGACATTTCTTTGACTTGGCTGTGAATGCAGGTGCCTCACTCCCACCCGCGCCCCCCAGGTGGGAGCCTTCCCATGCCTGGCAGCCTGGGCATCTCTCAACACGTGATGCCCGTCCAGCACTGGATCTTGTCCCATGTCCTTTTCCACAGCCCCATCCTGAGGTTTGACTAGCTAACCCTCCGTGTGGCCCAGTGGCCAAAGTCACTGTACCGGGAAATCCCTCCATTGAGCCTCCAGTTTAGCCAGCCCAGGGACGCCCTGATCTGTGCCGCTTCTTTAACTCAACAGACATTCACTGAGCACCCCCTGGGTCGTGTCTGCAGCTAGGCGCCCTCTTCCATTGGAAGAGACACTCGTGGGTAATCACCCGGCTTATGGTCATGGTGGCAAAGCAGGCACAGCGGGAAACGGGGAGAAGGGGGCCTCAGGGCAGGTATTCTTCTAGGCCAAGGGCTGAAGAAGGACAGCGCTACAGCTCCAGGTGGGGCAGGTGAAGGCGGGGAGGAGAGGCGCGGGAGGCCGGAACCCGGGGCTTTGGCCGCGCACCGTGTCCTTACCGAGACCGTGGGCTTGTGGCTCCGCAGCGGGGCCATGGCGCCAGCCGTGGCGGGCCGCGGGGGCAGTGCGGGGGCGGGCGGCGGGGGCTGTGGCGCGGGCTCCGGGGGTGCGGGCGCCCCACAGAGGCTGCGCGCATGGTGGCCGCGGAAGCTGCGCAGCAACGCGCGGGGCCGGGCGGCTAGGCTGCTCCCAGACAAACGGCCGAGCAGCGAGCGGCGACGGGCGGGTTCCGGGGTGGCTGGGGAGCCGGGCCGCGAGCTGCCAGGGTCCCGCTCGCCCTCGCTGGCGGAGGAGGCGTCCTTCTCCTCCCCGGCGGCGGCCTCCTGCTCGTCCCCGGGCGGCTCCTGGGGTCCAGGCTCCGCAAGCGGGGGTGCCAGGCCGCTGTCTGGGCTGAGCAGCAAGAGCCAGGCCGGAGGGGCCGACGCCGCGCCCAGGGCACCGCACTGGTAGGGGCCGTGTCCTCGGATGGCAGCCTCTGTGCAGAAGAGCGCCTTCCTCTCCAGGCTAAAGTCATGCTGTGGAGAGAAGCGCAGTGAGGGCGAACCAGGGCTGGGGTTGGGTGCGGGGAAAAGGGGCACTGGGATCCCTCACCCCTGGCCTGGGGACCCGCCAGGCCCAGGCGGCTTCTGATTCAGAGCCTCGAGTGTCCTTCGAAGCCTATGCCACCTTGATTTCAGCTATCAGTGGGGTCAACAGATGTCACTAACCGGCTAATGGCAACTCTGGACAAGTGAGGAACATGTTACAGTGAAATGTGCTAAAATCCGACGTCTAAAACCCTGAGTCATTCAGTACGTCATTGAATAAGAGTTACTTTTAAAGGCTTTTTCTCCAGGGCCAGGGATTTAGCACTTTGGTTCTGCTGCCTGCCTTGAAAGTGCAAGGTCCCGAGTTGGATCCCCGGTACAGAAAAAAAAAAAACCTATACAATTTAAGAAGTTTTTCTTCAGTAAACCTTGTTCTTGGCAAAGAAGCCTTCACTGGAGGCCGGCACCACTTGCTAACAGTCACCCAGCCCTGGAGGCTGGTCCAGGTAGCCAGACGTCCTCAAGAATAATATTGTTGGGCCGGGGATTTAGCTCAGTGGTTTCGCCACCTGCTGCACAAGCACAAGGACCTGAGTTCGATCCCCAGTACCAAAAAAAAAAAAACCCAACCAAACCAAAAAAAAGATTAATACTGTCACTGGAGTTTGGGGCAAAAGCAGACCAGGCCTGGCCACCTGTCCCATAAAGCTAACGCAGGAGCTGGGCAGCAGTGAAGGGCAAGGACGGAGCTTTTATCAGCGTGGTCACACTGGGATGCACAGAGCTGTTAAAGACACTCTGGACTTTTATAGAAAAGGGGAAGAAAGGCAAGTGCTGGGGTTTTGCAGCCATCACTGGGGGTTATGCCCCTGGCAATGGAGGAATCGTGGTCAAGCGGAGGCCTGGCTGATGGGTAGCTCAGGTAGTTTTCTGAGGTCTTGGGAGAGCCATCAGCATCTGAGGATGTGGTTCCCATTATGAGAGGGCAGCTCCTGCTTTGTGAGGCACCCTCAGTTCCCCTCATGGGGTAATTGCTCTCCCTGGGGGTGACCACATCATGGGGTGATCTGCAAGGTTCTGCTTTTCCTGGAATCCGAGGTGGCTGCAGGTTTAGGACAATGACTTAAGACTTCTGGGCTGGGGATGTAGCTCAGTGGTGCAGCCACCTGCCTCTTAAGCACTAGGTCCTGAGTTTAATCCCTGGTACTAAAAAAAAAAAAAGACTTCCAGCCATTTTTCCAGGGCATCTGGAACTGGACTTTGTAAAAGCTGGCAGTTGGATGTCCTTACAAATTCTAAAAATTATTCTCATCTTGGTATCTTCAGTCTTGAAAGATAGCCTAGGTAAATTTAGGGCTAATGAACCTTGTAATACTCCTTAGTGATTAGCATGCTTACGTGCAGAGCTGAGCAGGGATCTGATCCAAAGTTTTCATGTGATAAGGGAGACGTAAAGCTGAAGCAGAGATGCCAAGCTTTCTTGTGTTTTTTGTTACCCTTTGGGCATCTCCTGGCCCAGCCTCTAAATCCCTGTTACAATACCTCCTGCTCCTCTTTCCTGCCATCCAAGGTTACTTTGGGGCCCAGGAAATGGAGTAATCTAATCCTTGGTGAGCTCTGCTAAGTAGAGGCCAGGGATTTAGCTCAGTGGTTCCACCGCCTGCCTCAGAAGCGCAAGGACTTGAGTTCGATCCCCATACCAAAAAAAAAAATTCTACTAAGTAGGATCAAGTGTCATCCATATTTAGATTAGGAAAATGATCACTGAGATGGTTTTATTTGCTGAGGACAGACTGCTGGTGAGTGGCCACGCTGTGTTCCTGTCTACCGGAAAGTAGTGCTCTCTCTACTGCAGTATCAGGCCACCTACAAAAGCACTCTGTAAGGGATAGGGTACAGCTCAGAGGAAGAGCTCTTTCCTACATGCAGGCCTCAGGTTCAACCCCTGGCACAACAGCAAAAACAGTGACTGGAAGCCCACATAAATAATCTAACTTGCGAGTTTATAAATGAAGCAAAAATAAAGAACTTTGGTTCGCTGCCTTTAAACTAACACACACACACACACACACACACACACACACACACACACGTCAAGAACAGGAAACATAGGGGCCGGGGATTTAGCTCAGTGGTTTTGCCGCCTGCTGTGCAAGCGCAGGGACCCGAGTTCGATCCCTGGTACCAAAAAAAAAAAAAAAAAGAAGAACAGGAAACATAAAACTCTATCAAAAATACAAAACTTGGGCCGGGGATTTAGCTCAGTGGTTTCGCCCCCTGCTGCACAAGCGCAAGGACCCAAGTTCAATCCCCGGTACCCATCCCCCCGCAAAATACAAAACTTTTATGGCTACAGGGATGATCAAGCACTTGCCTAGCATGTGCAAAGCCTGAGTTTTGATCCCTAGCATTGCAAGAAATAAATACCTGAGTAATTTAATAAGCAATTTCAGTGCTTTCCCATGGACAATTAAGGGAGAGGCTAGGTTAGGGGAAGTGGTGTTTGGGGAGGGGGAGAGGGGTCAAGTAGGCAGAAAGACAGACACAGGTGTGGTGGTGCATGCATGTAATCCTAGTACTCAGGAGACTGAGGCAGGAGGATCACTGTGAGTTCAAGCCTAGTCTGGGCTACATTGCATGGTGAGTCCAAGGCCAGTCTGGGGTACATCTCTTCTTGCACTTTATGTACGCAAGGATTAATTCCAAAAGGGTCAAAGATTCAAATAGATGACATGAAGCCATGAAAGTACCAGGAGAAAACAGGAGAGATATCTTTATATCTCAGGTGGGCAAAGCTTTTCTGACTTTAGATCAAAACCTAGAAACTATAAAAGAAAAGATAATTCCGGGCTGGGGATTTAGCTCAGTGGTGCTGCCGCCCGCCTTGAAAGTGTAAGGTCCTGAGTTCAATCCCCATACTGCCAAAAAAAAAAAAAGAAAGAAAGATAATTCTACTATTATCACCACCCCACCATGAGCACCAGTGCATAAAATACACATGGCAAACACCCCAGAAGCAAGGTCAAAGACCAATGACAAATTGGGGGTGGTGGCACCCATATCATAGATAAAGGGCTAACTTCACTAAATAGATTAAATCCCTAAAAATACATAAGAAAAAGATTAACAGCCAAACAGAAAAAGTGGGCAAAGGATGTAGAGTCCACAGGAAAGAAAATACAAATGGTTCCTAAACATATGAAAAGCAGCTGAGCTTCCCTCATCAATAAAGAAAGGCAAACTAGAAGTACCCTGAGATACCAGTTGCCTATCCCTGGGCACATCTGTCTGCTGACACTTTCCTATGGGGACTTGGGAAGGGGACAGGAGGAAAAGGCACCCTTAGCATATGGATTGGGATGTAAATCACTGTGGGTCTACAGAGGGCAATTTGACAATATACGAAAACAAATTCTAAAGGACATTGGCATTCAGTCTGTGGTTCCCTGCAGCATTGTTTGTAATGGCAAAAGACTAGGAACAACCAAACTATCTATCCACAGGGTACTAGTTCATTAAAGTATGATAAGTTCAAATAACACAAGGTATGCAGTGCAAAACAAAATCGAAACTTTCTGTGTACTAATGCAGAAAGATCTTATACCATATCAAGTGAAAAAATCAAAACAGTATATATAAAAGTTACATTATCTGTTTAAAAAAGAGCAAATGATTGCATTTGTTTACATATACAAACAAGAATGTCTGGAAGAAAATGTTAAAAATGAGTAACAGAAGCCAAGCATGGTGGTGCATGCCTATAATCTCAGCACACTAGGAGGCTGAGGCAGGAGGATTGCAAGTTTAAGCCCAGCCTGGGAAATTTAGCAAAACCCTGTCTCAATAATATAAAAAAAAATTATACTATTGAGGATGTAGTACCAAGGCCCTGGGTTCAATCCCAGGTACTTCAAAAGCAAAGCAAAGCAAAACAAAATGTAACAGAGGTTGCTGTGGGAGGTGGGGGTGGGGAACAGGGCAGGTGGAAGGTGTTGAGGAAGCTTTTTATCTCTTGGGGGTAGGCAAACTGCCTGCAGGCCAAAGTGCCCCACCATCCTGATTATGTAAATAAGATTTCCTCAGAACATGGCCGCAGCCATCTACTGTGGCTGGCTATGTGTTCCAGGGCCTTTTCTTCGCACAACAGCAAAGTAATTTCCACAGAGGTTAATAATTTGGCCCCTTACAAAAAATGTTTGTCAATCCGTTTTATACATATTAATTTTTAAACCACAATTAATGTATTTTGTAAGACAACCAACAAAGGGAAAAAGGAAGTGAATGAAAGGGAAACTGAGGACAAAACCCGACTTGGGGAGGCAGCAGGGAGGAGGGGAGGGGCGTGGCTTTGAGGTCTGACAGATTCCTGTTGAGATCCTGGCTATGTCACTACCCACATGTGACCTTGTGGGTCACTTGGCTGGGAGCTTTGGTTTCCTGTGCCATGGTGCAGGAACATCCACCTGCTAAGTGGACCACGATAAAAATAAGAGAGAAGAGGGCCGGGGATTTAGCTCAGTGGTTCCATTGTCTGCTCTGCAAGCACAAGGACCCAAGTTCGATCCCCAGTACCAAAAAAAAAAAAAATAAGACAGAAGAGCAAATAGATGAGGAGCACCCAGCAAAGCCTGGTGAATGTGAGTGCTCAATGAATGCATGGTGGCCGTTATTATTTTGTTCCTTTTGGGCCACTGTAAGTACACCTGGAGATCTAACTACTGTTTATGACCTCGTTGCTATGGGCAGTGTTTTCCAAGTTCCAAACCCTGGGAATACAGCCCAGGGACCACAGAGGATTTATCAGGGGTGGCTGCCAATCATCTTGGAGTCTCATGGTTTTCTGCTTGTTGGTTCTGCCCCACAGCAGGAGAAAGACAGCTGTGGAAGGGGAAGAGACTCCCGGAAGGTGGGTACCCACCAGATGAGAGGCACAGCCAGGCTCAGCAGGTGGGCATGGCCTTGGCAGAAGGTGCGGGTTTTGCTCCCAGGAGAGGGCTTCTTCAGGATAACCTCTGCTCAGTGTGGCCTGAGCTAAGCAGGAGGGGAAAGTTGGGATCGTCCACCCCTACTGCAGGATCCGTAAACCAAGTTCCTTATCTCAACAAGACAGCACCATGTAGGAGAGCTGGCGGCACAGGCTGCCAGGGGAGAGTGGGAGCTCCTACCACATAGGGCATATGCCCTTGTGCCCTGAGCTCTAGCTTCTCAGGGCTTGGTTTGGTTGTGGACACTTTGGTTCTGGGCAGCCTCTGTGCAGCGCCAGGGTCTGCTGATGGGGCAACACTGCGCTGGGTCTCCTGGGTCCCTGGGCACCTCGCCCTTCGCCTCCCCAGCCCTCTCGTGCCTGGACTGTGCTCTCTTCCTGACTTCCCTCAACAGCACCCCCCGCAACTTAGCCTTCACACCTCACTGACTCACACCTACTAATATACACTGATGTGGAGTTGAGACCTAGCTTTTAGTCTTGTCACTGCCATTAATCACAAACAATCATCTTCTTTCTCTGAGCCTTAGGTTCCTCAAGGGCCAGGTGAGTGAGTCCCAAACTGCTCTGTGAAGCACCCTGTAGCCCACCATGGGGCCCCAGCCACGGGGGCCTCAAGCCAGCTCCACAGTTCTTTGCAGTCTTGTTCTTTTATTTTTCAAGATCATGTGAATGTTGCACTCTAGCCAGATCCATCTGTTATAGTGTAAATGCAATAAGTTTCCCCCAAAATCTTCATATAAACTTAACTTGCCGATAAAGAACGAATGAGACACTTACCATAGAACCCAGCAGGAGCTCCCTGCAGGCCGAGACACTGAGCTCTAGTTCAGCGAGAGGCTCTGTGCTGACCACGAAGCCCCTGGGCACCTTGAAGGGGACATCATCCAGGGCACTCATCCTGTCCTAGGAATGTGGAGATGGCTCGACAGGGCCAGGCAGGCTGCCCAGTGGTAGGAAGAGGGTGTCGAGTCCTGAGAACCAGTGGCCTCACCACTGTCCTGTGTGGTCACCTAGCTGGGCCCTGCACCACTAGAAAGGAAAAGATGAAATGAATCAAAACTAGATCCACAACACTGGCTCTAAAATATCACAAGAGTTGTCACCTAAACTCTCTGTTTAGAGAAGAAACACCACCAAGTTATACAAAGTCTTACAAAGAAGAAAATAAGGGATACTTCTGAATTCATTTTGACCTCATCAAAATCTTCATACCAAACTTGACAATAAAATGGGAAACCACTCTCTCATGAACACAAATGCAAAAATCTTAACAAAAATAATTATGGATAAAATAATGTAACATTGCCAAGCTGAACTTATTCCTGGAATGACAGATTAGCTTAACATTCTAAAATTATTCAATAGGAGTAAAGATAAAAATCAACAGAATAAAGATAAAAAATTATATAATCATATATCTCTATTGTAGTGGACATTCCACAGTGTGGCAGCTCTTAGTGGTATAGCAAGATCAGGCCAAGAAGAATGGAGAACACACCTGGAGGTTGGAGGCAAGTTTATTATGCCAGCAGACTGACTGGGGATTTCTCCACAAAGCGATCAGCCAGGAGTTAGCAGTGAAGAGGGTTTATATGGGTTAGGAAAGAGGGGTGGGAATACAGAAGCGAGGCATTTATCATCAGTTCAAGGTTGAGGAAGTCACATTAGTTTACATGATTTGATAGAAAAGTACCCTGGATACAGACACTTCCTGAGAACAATGGAGGACGTGTGTTAGGTGTGGGAAGGGGTATGAGCTGGGGTGGCTCTTTATCAGTTAGGTCAGCTAGCTGCAGGAAAAACCTTTTTTGCTCAGAAATCGTTTTCTGGCTCATTATAGAGGCAGAAAAAATTTAATAAAATTAATAGACATTCATAATTTTAAGAAACAGCCAACAGTGGTTTCACCATCTGCTGTGCAAATGCAAGGACCCAAGTTCGATCCCCGGTACCAAAAACATGAAACAAAAAAGAATGGTGATTTTTTTTGGAAAGGAAAATACATTACAGATGAGGATTTAGCCTACAGTGAGCATCTAAATTTGTACTAATTCTTATAGTGTGTCCTGATCCTGTTCACATCAACAAATCCAACATAATTCTGAGGATAATGTGCTTTCCTTCATGCATTTATATATTTTGGGCCGGGAATTTAGCTCAGTGACTCTGCCACCTGCCTCGAAAGTGCAAGGACCTGAGTTTGATCCCCGGTACCAAAAAAAAAAAAAAAAAAATTTAAAGAAACAATGAGGCCAGGCATGGTGGCACATATATGTAATCCCAGGGCTCTGGGAGGCTGAAGCAGGAAGATTACAATTTCGAGTCCCACCAGGGTGACTTAGTGAAACTTTGTCTCAAAATAAAAAATTATAGAGCTGGGGATTTAGCTCAGTGGCACCACGCCTGCCTTGCAAACGCAAGGTCCTGAGTTAGATCCCCAGTACAAAAAAAAAATTATAAAGGGCTGGGAATGTAGCTCAGGGGTAGAACACCCTTGGGTTCAATCCCCAGTACCACAAAACACAACCCTTAGCAACTTAAAAACAGAAAGTAGTTTCCTTAACCTAATGAAGAATATCTCAGCAAAGATATGCTAGCATATCCCTGAAATCCCAGCTACTCAAGAGGGCTGAGGCAGGAAGATTGTGATTTTGAGGCCAGCCTAGGTAATTTAGTGAGAACTTGCTTCACAGTAAACAAAAATGAAAAGGAGTCAGGAAATAGCTCAGGACTCCCTGGGTTCGATCCCCAGTATCAAGAAGAAAGAGAAAGGAAGGAAGGAAGGAAGGAGAAGAGAGAAAGACAAAGAAGAACAAAGAGAATCTGTGAAATATCAATAGGAAATATCTCAGTGGTGAAAGACATCTTTAAGATGGGAAATGAGAAAGGGGACACAGCAGTCCTCAGCTCTTCTCTTCAGCAGACGGACCAGCTTGTGCTTAAAGGGAGGAAAACAATAAGGAAGAGAAAACAACCATTATTTCTATATGACATAATTAGATGAGGAAAATCCAAAAGAATCTTAGAATAAAACTTAGTAATTTGGCAAGATCATTGGATACAAATAGACAAAATAAATTATATCTGTATATATGAACAATAAACCATGTTAAATAGCATCTTTTAAGAATTTCATTACAGCTGGGCATGTAGTCCCAGCACTCAGGAGACTGAGACAGGAGGATTGCCACCAGTTTGGGGCCAGCCTGAACTACACAGCAAGACCCTGTCTCAAAAACAAAGAACTTTATCAGTGATTGAAATTTTAAAAATATACTGTGAGTATTAACATCAATCATCAATAATTAAATCTAACACAAGATGTTTAAGATCGCTATACAGAAAACTACAAAACATTAAATGGAGGAATATATCATGTTCAAAAGATGGTAAAACTCAGTATTATAAAAATATAAATTCTCTTCAAATTGATTTACAGATCCCAAATTTTTAAATTCCATCACATTTTTAGTATAAATTGGCAAGTTAATCCTAAAATGAAATGAAATGCTAAGGCCTAAGAAAAGCCAGGGAAATCTTGAAGCACCAAAGTGGAAGATTTTTATTATGAGGTATTGAGACTTACTTTAAAGTTACAGGAATTAAGACTGTGGTGGCAACACTAGGCTTTATAAAGAGACCAACAGAACACAAAAGAAAGTCCAGAATGAAACCCATATATGGATCCTTGATTTATAACGAAATTGGCTCTGTAGAGCAGTAGGAAAAGGAAAATTCTTTTCAATGAATGGTTTTGGATCATCTGGACATCCACCTGGGAAAAAAAACCCAAATCAAAAGAAGACCTTGGGACTCAGAGTGTGACTCAGTGGTTCGACCCCCAGCACTGAAAAACAAAAACAAACAAAAACTTGATCTCTACCTCACATGACACACAAGAATAAATCCTAGGTAGATTGCAGACCTCACTGCCAAAGATAAAATAACAAAGCTTGAAGATAAAATAAGAGCCTATATTCAAGGCCTTGGAACAAGCAAATACTTCTTAAATAAGTTACAAAAAAGGACTAACCATGAAGAAAATGCATTAAAGTTAAGAGCTCCGATTTATGAGTATAAAAAAAAATCAGAGTGGGAGAAGATATTTACAACACATCTTCAAACGATCGACTCACATCATATATATACAAAGAACATTTATAAACAATGAAAAAGGCAAGAAATTTTAATAGGCACTTCACAAAAGAAGCTATCCAAGTAGGCAATAAACATATGATCATTTGTTTAACCTCATTAATTCTCAGGCATATGCAAAATAAAACAGTGAGTTACCGCAATGCACACACAACCATAAATAGTTAATACAAAAAAGGCCAATGGGCCGGGGATTTAGCTCAGTGGTGCTGCCACCTGCCTTGAAAGCACAATGTCCAAGTTCAATCCCAGTATCCAAAAAAAAAAACAATGATGTCAAGTGTCGATGAGGATGTGAACATCTGTAACTCCCAACCACTGATCAACAGTGTCTACTAAAGCTGAAATCCCAGAATTAAAAACCCATTCACGTATCACTTTTTAAGCTTTTAGCTAAAGTCAAGTGTAGTATCTATCCTTAGTTTAATAATACTCACAGGTGCCTGGGATTAAATATCAAGTTTGTTTCCATGAAGAAAAAAGGGGCGGGGGGGGGAATCCTCATTTACACCAGATTTAAGCTCACAAATAAGTATAACATAAACCTAGACTCCTGAGCACAGCCAGGCACCTTACAAACAACCAGGGCTGATCAGTGTGTGCTGCTAGCTCAGCACAATCTGCCACCCCTGCCAGGGTGACGCAGAAGCCAGCTGCTCTTGGTTCATGGTACGGTCAGCCTGTTCCCTGCAGGAGCGCATCCTCCAGATGCAGCACGGACAGGTCAAATGAGGGCAGGGGGCAAATCCCGTAATTCCTCACCCCTCCCTCGCCTGTCTATTCTCATCAGTGTCTTCCCATACAGGAGGGTCATCCACCCCAGCCAGTGCCCTGCTGCCTCCAGGGACTGCATCAGGCAGCTTCCATGTAGCCAGCTACTTAGCTGCCCCACTGGCCACTTCTGACAGGGCAGCTGAAGCTCCCAGTGTCACAAGGGATACAGGGATGGTCAGCATCCTTAATTTACTGCTCACATGTTCAGCTGTCATTTGAATTTTCATCTACTGAGACTCAGGTTTGAACTGCCTGTCAGCATCCCATCTTCAACCCAGCACCTGCATTCCAAGAGGTCTTCCTACTCAGCCCTGTATCTGCTTCTAAGGCAACTGGAGGATTCTGGGGATCTCTCCTCTTCCTCTTCCTCCTTCTCTGCTGCTGTACTAGGGGTTGAACCCAGGGCCTTTGCTCTGAGGTACATCCCCTGCCCTTTTCAAAATTTGAGACATGGTCTCACTAAGTCGTTAAATTGCCCAGGCTGGGTTTGAACTTTCAATCCTCCTGCCTCAGCCTCCCAGAGTACTGAGATTATAATAGGCAGATGCCACCATGCTGGTCTCAAGGAATATATCTTTTAAGAGAAGCAAGGGCTATAGTTTAAGATATGAGGCAGTTAGAACATATTTTAAAATGAGGGCACCTCACTAAGTACAAAATGAGAGGTGTAGATCATTAGGTAAAGATATTAGGGCTCACTGCCAGCCCACCCCAAGGAGTGCCTCTGGAAAGTGTTCCAGTCCTTATAGGGCTTGGGGACACTTTAGGACACAGAAGGACTGACTGGACCCTGGAGGGATTGGGGGAACAGCCTGTGAGCAGGGAAAGGGTCAGATGGAAAGCAAGACTCCAGGAAAGGAACAGCTGGAGCCAGGGACAGAGGCTGCTTGACTCAGGTAGATAGTTGTACCAGGAAGCTGTCTGCACTAAGATTGAAATGGTCACCAGGACTGATGGTGCACTCCTGTAATCCCAGCACCCTGGGAGGCTGGGGCAGGAGGATCACAAGTTCAAGCCCAACCTGAGCAATTTGGTGACTTAGCAAGACCTTGTCTCTGAATAAATGATAAAATTAAAAAAGAGTTGGGTGTGCAGCTCAATGTGAAGCCTCTGGGTTTAATCCTTAGTGCTGAAAATAAAGCACACATTGTTCAGCCCTGGGGAAGACTTGAACAAGGGCTAGTTCAGACTCAGTTCAGTCAGGAGGCAGAGGCAGCCCTGGAGACCTGAGGGGTGGAGGACATCAGGAGAGCCGGGCTGTTTTCAAAGCACAGCCCAGGGGCCTGTGCTCCCTGGGCTGCCTCTGCCGTGGAGTGAGTGGAGGTTGTGGCAATTGGTCTGGGGTGCCCAGGCGACGACGAGGGAGGCTTGTTTGTAAAGCTCCGCACTGTACTCTTCCTGAGACTTCATCCCTGCCCACAGCTTCCATTAGCTATCAGTAATTCACAGATGTCCGGTCTCTTCTGAGATCAAACTCATAAACACAACAGCCACAAAGCATCTCCCACCCCGACAAACTGCTCTTCCTCCCCAGAGCACCTGGTTGCAAGGTACAGCAGCAGCGCAATCACGGCCCAGGAAGATTCACCCCTCACACCTTCCCCTCCTTCCCCACCACTCACCTGAGATCCTCTGCCAAGTGCCAGCTCTTAAATCTGCGGACCCAGCCATTCACACAACCTCCCCTGCTACCACAGGACCCCAGCTCCGCTATCTCACCTGGACAATGGCTTCCTTTACCCTCTCATGCTCCACTTTCCTAAGTTTGTTCCACACATCGAAGCAAGAGTGATCGTTTCAAAACACAAAACAAAGCCGGTATCTTGCTTGAAACCTTTCAATGGTTTTCAGCTGCTTTCAGAATAAAACTTACTCTCATGAAGCCTCATGTCTAGCTAGCCTTTCCTCCCATCTCACTCAAGCCATGCCAGCCTTTATCATGGTCTCCTGACCCACCCCAGATATTCCCTAGGTTCTTTTCCTCACAATTGGTTAAAAACTGTTACCTAAAACATTACTTTCTCAAAAAAGCTTCCCCTTATGTACAGGGTAAGTCCTGTAGTGGGTTAGTTAGGTCCAGAACTATAGTAACTTTCCCAAAAAA